TTCGTATATCGATATTGTCAACCGGTCCCTCTATCTGCATATATGGTCTAGGTTCCTCCATTTATAAAACAGACCAACCCCTATCGATATATTAGCCTATATCAGATCGGCACCTCCCTTTGTATATAACATGCATACATTAGCCCCCTGTCCTTTCCTGTCCATATTGATCCGGTACAGATGTATTGTTATTTATGATGCATGCTTTATCTTTATAACTATGAAGTCGATATTACCGTCTCGACTCAGCCCTAAATGTCATATACAAAATGTACTTCACTAAATGAAAATTTATTTTACTTCAAATACACACATCAATAGCGTTATCGCGAAAGACCAAACACAAAAGTCTTATTACGATCCAAACACACGGCACAAATTTAAAAATAAAAGAGATATTGAACTGTATTGTGTATAACAAAACCTCATGTCTGATAATGATCCTTGGTCGTGAATTAGACACGAAAAGCAGAAAGACATGGTGGGGAAAAAAACAAAGTAGTCTTTCGCGTACCGAGGTACTCCAACGTACTCAATTGGCGAAATCTACCCAATTACCTAAGTTGATTTCGAATGCAATGCTATCCAATAGAGAATGTGTTATCATTACATTGTGGAGTATGCCAGACAAGTAGTTATGTTAAAAGTATAAGTTCAAAAAAATATGTGGTAGATTAAAACTTTAACAAATGCGGAATAGGAAGTGAGAGTTTGGGATGTCATTTTGTTTGATGTCTGTTTTGAAATGTTATTTCGGTCGATATCAACATATCAATAACTTGACGTTTTATATGGATGAAAATGCCACTTGGGATATTATTTTCGTTGGAATTCCAGAAATATAGGTGTACATTTTACGGCAGAGCAAATACCAGTTGTTCACCCATAGATAATTTTGTCATATTGTCTTGATGTGATGGAGTGAGTTTTGTCCTTTTGTGTTGGTGATGTATTGTATTTTGCCCTTGTGATAATGTTTGTCCTTGTGTGTTGGCGTTGTTCCTGTGTGCAGAGATGTTCTAATATACTGCATACATGTTGCCGACCTACTGGTATAACTACCACATAAGTCGTAGACAAACTGAATGGCAGTTCAGTGTTCAGTGTAGTGTAGGTCGGCGACATTCATGCAGTTAAGTGCCTATATTTTTGTTTTAATTAATAAATTGCAATTAAAATTGATATGTTCTCCTTCGGTTATAAATTCTCCGTTGTTATCGGCGAAGCCAGATCAATAACTAGAACAGTTACAAATTGACAGGTAATGCCACGCTTTGTCTCGCTCAAAAACTCAAATTAAAAAAAAAGTTTTTTTTCTGACTCATTTGTTTTTGTAATTTTAAGAAATGAAAGACGGTAACAGTTTTATATATATCATAATCATATCAAATAAGCGCTGATTAAAGTGCTGGGGTACGTTTATATAATGCTTTTTAAAGAACAATTTTCCGAGCACGTAGTCATGCAATCACAGCACTAGTGATCAGGAGATGTATTGATACAATGCATATAGCATTGCAGTTATGCACTCATAAATAAACCCGCATTGTCCTTGTGTATTGACGTTGTTTTGTGTGTTGACGCTATGTTTTAATTTGTCCTTGTGTGATGACGCTATGTTTAAATTTGTCCTTGTGTATTGACGCTGTGGTATACTTTGTCCTTGTTGTGGAAAATATGTTAATTTATACATAGTTAGATTAGAATTTCATTTCAATTTGTCCTTTTTGAGTTGACGTTATGTTATCATTTGACCTGGTGTATTAACGCTGTTATATTTTGTTCTTGTATGTTAACGGTGTAATATACTTTTGGTCTAATTTTCTGTTCGACCGACCGAACAATCAACACTATTTTAAGGGGCATGTTTGACATAGTGACTGAAAATCTAGGCTATATATAGATTTCAGGTAGTAAGTATTATATCAGAATGTGTACTTACTTAATTGTGTTGTATTGTAATATGGTTATTTATAGAAACGGTAGGAGAGCAAATATACATATCGATAATAGGTACCAACTGAAAAGTAATGTATTGGGTGTATACATATATACTACAATAATAATTGTTTACACTCTTTAACATTCCCGTGAGATATATTTGAATAACTCGGAGAACAAATATAGGACTCCTGTGGGAGGTAAGCGTTCCCACGCGAATTTCTACCGACACAATATAAAGTCATGTTCTTTTATATATTCAATCAAGCAACTGATGTGAACCCAAGCCCGTTCTAAAAACTGTAGACAGCGAATTCGTTAAAGTTCAAAACGATTTTACAACTATACTCCTAATTCAATCCAACCTCATATCTATTCGACACTTTAGACCACTTCTTTCGTGTGCACATTCACGAAAATTAGACCTGTTGTATCCCACTTCATGATAACATTTTGCGACTAATATCAGGCCCCGTTATTATGGGATATTCGTTTGTGTCTTCTGCTTACAGATAAACTAGAATTCATCTGCTGTGCCAATGCAACACATGAGGCCTCGATACTGTCTTGCTCTCTTAACTGTTCGTTGTATCTCCCTAGAAACCTCTGGTAAGCTTAGTCTAAGAATCAAATGACCGGATGGAGCGTGATACTACCGTGTTCAGAATATGAAATGTTTTTGTTGAAATAGCATTATAACTAAGCCTTTTGGTAAACCTTTATAACTCTAATTTACGTCTTTGAATAATCTGAGCAGAGCCGAGGACGAGCAACCATGAACAAACACCTACTGGTGCCTTCCGTAATATGCATGTACTATCTACAATAATCAAAATGAGGAGCACGAATGTGCTGAAGCCTGTGCCACGAGTTTTGCCTATTCCTCAACTACTTCTTTACTTTTTTACATAAAACAGATACTATTACCTGAAACTGCATTGTTTCTCACTTTTAACAGATTATAGACATTTATTTAATGCTCTGTTTTGCAAACCTTGCGCTACTTCAATCATTACCGTAAATGTCTCCCAAACAATATGCCTTGATCTCTAGGTCAAACATGTAACTATTTATTACGTAACAAACCGAAAGTATCAAAGCCACATGTATTCATCAAAACTGTTTACATATCTGGCAGCATAGGGGAAATAATCAAATAATCTGTTTCGATGACCCCAAATGCCCTCATAACAAGAAAAACCGTATATGTCCTTGTCAACCCCAATATTACAGGCATATCATCCGACATCGATTGGCAGTTTTATTTCTACTAAAGTTGAGAGGATATCTAATACAGTCTATTTCTGGATCAGTCAACTAAAATATATCTAGTGTCTGTCGTGAATAAATCTAACATTTTAAATTCAGTTTGTGTAAACAGTACATAACGGGGGACACTAAAATACACATCGCAAACAAAGTTACCCGCAAAATCATCGGACAAAATAATTCGATCAATAAAAAACAGAGCGTTGTATTTCATATAAGAAATTGAGTCTTAATCTTGTCTTACATTGAGATACTTTGATATGCCTAAATAGAAGGAAACACAATGCAAAACGTTAAGGTTTAACGAGGTGAGAGGAAGGTAACGCCGGGAACCTTGGAAGGTAAACTAAGTTTCCCGGACGCCAGAAGTCTTACTCAAGTCTGCTGTCACACCCACAGAGATCAAAGCTACGTGTTTGTGATATGATTTGGCATTAGCCAAGGGTTGTTTTAACTACCTCCAGAAACAGTGATAGTTTTATGACATATTTACAATATATCATGTCCGCCTTCAAATACAAACCTGTAGCTAGCCTGTACGGATATATACAAACCAGGAACCAAGGGTCCTTACACAACCTGTACTATAGTACGATGTGTTTAGTTGTAGATGTTACTTGAAATGAAATGGCTGTTCCTTAAAACCTCATCCTTAACGTAAACAACCATGGCGTAAAGCGTGTCCAGTATAAATATTTAAAAACAAAAACGACATGTGCATTCGGTATCTTTTGGTCTTATGTAATATTTAGTTACTCACCGACTTGTGTATACAGTGGTGCTTTTGATGTTGTTACACTATTTAAATGTTACAGACGTTACAAACGTTGTCTGGTTTGTAGTTTATATACTTTGATTTTAGCTGTAATGCATAATTTCCGCTATTTAGTCCAATGTCGTTATTAAAGGGGTAATCAACACTTCACCAAAACAGTTTCGTATCGGTGTTTACTACTGTCTCCAGTTTAGTTATAAAGGGCGCAGGTACATGTGTCAGCGATACTGTTTTAACGAAGGAGTTTCAGGTTTAAAGAACAATTCGTACACTATTCTTATATTCACAAACAAAAGTAATTAGAAATTGTATGGACTAGTACAAAATTCGATTATGTCAAGGTAAATATACAAGCAACTGGTCAAAGAGATTGTGGGAGTCCACTTGATATTCACAAATCAAACCAAAGATTTGCCTGACTCTGTCCAGACTTCTACTGGATAACGTCATTCAATAGGCAGCCGATTCTCTGTAGATCAAGTTTCCTATTAAAACAATAATAACAATTTCGGAAGATTAAATATTTATTTTGCGATCCAGTAGATATATTAACATAACACTTGACGTACTCGTAATAACACAAAGAAAGCTTCTGTTTACTTAAGTATATTTACATGACATTGGATCCGTCTGACACAAAGACATGCTTTCTAAGTACAAGCGAAACCTGTTACTGTTTATATATAAGCTTTAGAGGAAAGTGTTATCATTGTTACCGACAACGATTTACTTGTATAAAGCTGAAACAACTTCAGGAACAGTGAATACCTTTTATTAAAAAAAACAGTGATAGTGTTTGATGTAGGAAAATGATCAGTTTAAATATGTTTGGTTCTGGCAGTTATTGTCTCGAACTTTAAAATATGACAACAAAAACAATAAGTCAACAGGTGTAGACGTTACACGTATCTGACCACTGTTACGAGGGACGAGTATTTATACTATTCGCAAGCGCACTTGTGTACTACTTCTGTGTTATCTAACTTTACCGTTCTATTTCGTTTGTCTGTTTCAGATGTAAATGATGGGTGTGACACACGTTTGCACTTATAAACATATGCGGTTGTTGTGTATGTCTTGGCTCGTCTCATGTGTCGCATTCGGTACCAGCGGGAGCGGGGTATGTATTACAATGTCTCATCATCATCATCATCATAATGAGCGGAGTATGTATTACAATGACTCATCATCATCATCATCATCATCATCATCATCGGGGTATGTTTTACAATGTCTCATCATCATCATCATCATCATCATCATGAGCGGGGTATGTATTACAATGTTTGATCATCATCATCATCATCATCATCATCATCAGCGTGGTATGTATTACAATGTCTCATCATCATCATCATCATCATCATCATCATCATGAGCGGGGTATGTATTACAATGTTTGATCATCATCATCATCATCGGGGTATGTACTATACATTCCGATAATCATCATCAACATCATCATCATCATCATCATCATCATCATCGGGGTATGTATTATAAATTCCGATAATCATCATCCACATCATCCTTCATCTATAACTGAAATGAGAGAGTAAGTGTTACGTGAAATACAGAGTGACTCGAGACATTGACAGTTTTGTGTATTTGCTGATTTTCTTAGTTTCCCTTAAATTTCAATAATCAGCACACTACACGATTTAAGAGACATTCAACCTCTATGATTTATATGTTTTAGACGGTGGTAACCATTTCCCTGGACGAGCAGAACCGGCTCATAATGCAGGCCGAGCTGACTTGTCTTAACAACAGCATGAATACGCCAAAACCAGAAAATGGTAAGAAAACACAATGATCAGAGGTCATGTTTATGTAAAACAGTATACCTTAATACGGGTTTAAGTGCCGACATTTTCCTTTCTAAGCAATATTATAATCGTCTCAAAAAAGCAAGTAGCACTCAAATATATTCCGAAGAGTTATTTTGTGGACATATTCAAGTAAGGTGTTATGAAAAAAGTTTATTTTCATATGAATAGAAACGTATTTCCGGCTAAAAGAATGGTGACAATAGTAATATGCTAGGAACATGCTTTTATATTTTTCTTTTTAAACTGAAACTGGTTATTCCTTTTACCTAGGTTCATACTGCAGCGTTGCCTGGGATACCATTTCCTGCTGGCCGTACACGCGGGGTGGTGAAACAGTGCGTCAACCCTGCCCGAGTTATGTTAATCTATTCGACAGTGCCGGTATGTACAAGTCAGGCGTCACGTTATCCAATTCACAGGATAGAAAATGTACAGTGTGTAAGATGTATCCGTATTCTTTCCTGTATGTTATGTGTCATTCTTGCATTGCCCTCGACATTATTTGTTCTATATCGAGTTGTAATTAAAATAAGTTTCGGGTGTGCTTTAAGTAAGGAGATTGTTTGGTGAATCTTTTTTACATTATTTGTCTCAGTCACTGTTTTTTCTGGTTTCATTCTTTTTGCTTGGCTAAAATTAAGCTTTAAAAGATATGTGTTTTCGGTGTGATGATTCCAGTGGCTATTAAGTAGAAGCATTTCTATCTGAGAAAATTATCCATTTCTCTACTAATTTGTTCCAACCTTTACCGTCTACCGGTACGTTAAATAACATAATGTATATGCTAATGAAGATTTAGTGCCGTGACATTTCCAGAGGTGAAAGACTTCCTCTTCTTGGTGTGCACGATATATTGCTAGCCTTTGTACCACAGTTACAAAAAGGTTCTTGACCAGTACAATATTTTGCTCGTTTCCCGTACTGTTTTAACTTATGAACGGAACTTTTATGGACGCTTTACAGAAATCTAAGTAAATAGACTATTGTATACTGTTGCTTGCTGTGCCAAATTTTTATTGTTGTACATTACAGTCATTTACGTTGAAAATATTTTTTCTGGATCGAAATCATACTGTGCAAGTATATATGTGTAAATTGCGTCTATATGTTTTGGCATTTATTGTTTGGTTTCTTCGTTAAAATAGTCACATATGTTTACAAAAGGTAAAACCCATTGTTCTGTATTTCACTGATATTCACTCTATTAGTTTTTATTGCCGACCTTATTTTAATTGGTAACACGAAATTGATGAAAATACTTAATATACTTAATATTAACTATGTGCTGGTTGATCTTGATGGTGTCATTAGGATCTAATCTCTAACCACTTGAAAGCTAAATAGGTTGTTAAAACTTCAGTTTGGTGTCATTTGCCAATGTAGCATAACTGCTCTATGTGCGAGTGGGCCACCATCCGACAGTTAGTACATGTCCCTGGCAAATGATGTAGTGTGATACAGGATCACAGCTGGTACCTTCATGACTACTATCATTTTTTTTCTCCCCTTTTCCTTTGTTGTTCCTGGTTTTGATTCCCTGGTACCTTCATGACTATTTTTATTTTATTTTTTTCCCTTCCCTCTTCCTGTCTTGTTCCTGGTTTTGGTGCTCTATTTTCACAAATCATAGTAGGTAACATTCACACATATCTTTGTTGATCCTCATGCCAGCAGTGCTTTCCATTGTAGTTGTCGCTAGTACAAAACAAAGGTTTTTGATTTTTGGCTGGTTCTGTCTTACGCATACTGAAATATGCTTTATTAATAGATCTTGTACGGTCAATACATCTATTAACTTTCTGACTTCCACGGCGTTTTGTGTCGATTTCCTGATTCAATACTCTAGTGTACATTAAAGCTTTTTTAAATGGAAACGTATTCCTGTAATTGCCTTTTCAAATTCATGGAGTGTATGTTCAATGTACTAGCATGCTTTACATTTGAATAAGTCACTTGCGATTTGTCCACCTCCGAGGCATCCTCGATATCCAGGGGTTACGCTCACCTTCGTTCTCTACACCCATGGAATATGCCATAGCAAAATTGAAAGCACGAAGATAGCTGTTTTATTTGTATCAGGTTAAAAAAAACTGACCAATCGCAAGGTTGAAACTTGTCTTTTGAAGATTACAAAGGAGAGACGCCCGACTTCAAAGCCTGTCTTTTTTTACCGTTACGTGACGGCGAGATTCTTTTGATGTACATCAAAGAATCGAACTAATCTTCTTGTTTCCTCAACAAGGTGGCGTACACAGAACCTTCAATTTTGCTATGACATTTTCCAGGGGTGCAGAGAGCGAAAGTGAACGTAACCTCTTGATATCGAGGATGCCTCCGAGGAGACAACAGTTCCTGAGATGAAATGGAACACTATTGGCTGGTTAAAACCTAATGTGGTAACATAACCAGTTCGTAGTGTCTTCGATGAAAAAAAGTGCTCGTGAAACCCTAATCAAATTATTTGAAACCTGATCTTTCTTTACAGAGTTAGCCTCTCGGACGTGTACAGAGTCAGGCACGTGGTATATACATCCTGTCCACAACACCACGTGGTCTGACTACTCAAAGTGTATTCACAGGAACGGCGGACATCCTCTCATAGCTGTGAGTATCAGTCCCCTCATAGCTGTGAGTAATAAGAGTACGGATCGGGGATTGAGGAAAAAACATATAAGCTGTTATCCATTTCATAGTGTAAGAGGCAACTAATGAGGGAACTCCCTGCAGAAATGTGATTTGCTTTCGTGTCCTTTACTTTGGAACACAAAAGCGACGAAAACAGATCTGCTGCACTCATTGAAATCTTTGAAATATGTTTTTGTTTTCTATATTCTAACAATCTGTTTTATGCTATGCATATACTTTCACTCAATCTCTATGAAAACCATGCACCATATACAAAAAAATATACAAATGTGTTTACGTTTGGTGCTTCATTGTAGGAACATATGCATCGCATCACCATGATGTACACGATAGGGTACGGATCCTCACTGGTGTCTCTGGTGATGGCTGTGGCGATCATGCTTTACTTTCGGTACGTACATGGTATACATAGTAGACTTAATGAATGTTAGTGACGTAGACATAAGATTGAAAAAAATAAAATTGTACGGTAGCGTAAGATATGATGCAGGTTGTGTGCACGCTAGCAGAAGATTTATAAGCGGCGTAGCGTAAGCTTAATTAGATTTAGGCAAACAATATATTCAAACTTTATGTTTCAATTAAACCTGTACTGATCAATGTAGCATGTGTAAGTATATCATCAGTCAAAAGCTATACTGGAGCGTGTGCAAGTCTACACATAATCCATGTCTTGAAAAAAATAGTCCGTCATGCATGCTGAAAATCTCCATTGACAAAAATAATGTATAAAAATGTTTTAGGTTGTCAAAATTGTTTATTTCTATTTATGCTCTAACAAATGTCTCAATTGAAACGGGTAAATACATGCTAAAATGTGCGAAACTGGACGTAAATGTTTTCACACTTGCGGCGGTAATCTGGCTAACTTCATGAGCAAGTGGAACAGACAGAAACTGGGAGTTAAATTAATGGAAGTTCCCTCGGCGAATGAATGATGCCGCTCATGCTTAATTTACAAATACTGTGAAAAAGTCAGTTGTAGTATTGAATAGCGGGGATGGTGTTAGACTATGCATGTCAACACGAGGGAAATAGTTTAAAAGATATGATTCTCATTTTGTTTTTAAAGTGTTATAATAATTTGGCACACAGGTATTTGTTGTTGGACTGTGTCTCCCGTTAAGTATGGTTGATATCGTTTGATGTTTGTTCAATTTAAAATGATATGGTCTTGGTCATGTCCGAGGTAACTTAAAAACAACTATGTTGTCTCCTTTTTAGGTTTAAATTTCATATTTGTACGTGCCGTCAGGAAAATATTCGTCCGTAGATGGATTTTGTACAACGAACGAAAAATGTCCATGTACATATCAAAACGTTCTGTGTGTAGCCGTAATGCATGTTTCATGCTAGATAATTTGACAAATTGTCTGAAACTAAGTGCAAAGAAACTTACATTGTTAATTAGATTCTTTTGTCCCATATAATTGTCATTAGAAATTTACAGAAACATTAATTATGATAAAATGAAGACGAATATTACATGACCTTTCAGAAAGCTACGGTGCCCCAGAAATACCATCCACGTTAATATGTTCGTGTCGTTCATGCTGAGGGCGGCCATATCCTTCATGAAGGAGAACATGCTGGTGGAAGGGGTGGGATTCCGAGCTGACGTCACAACCACGCACACTGGCGCAATCCAGTTCATACCTGAGGGGACGGTAAGGGTCACAACGACCATTGAACATAATGGCATTGTCAACTTCATTGCAGACATATCTTATGCTTAGGCCATTCATTATCCCGAACAGATGAATTCCCTTTTCGCTGGTAAAAATGATAAATCCGCCTGTACCAAACAAGAAAAAGACATGTTACATATGTCTTTATCTGGAATCGACACCATTGCATAAAAGATTTGCATCATTACTTTATGCAGTGAAACTGTATCAGAACAGGATTGTGTCAGCAACCACATTTGAGTCCGATACATAAAGCGGTATTGATGATGGCGCGGAACATTGCTTTGCCATTCCAATTACTTTCACGGTAGAAAATTATGGTTTAAACAAAATTAAATGAATTCTGTGTAAACAGAGAAAGAACTATTAACTGTCAACATTGAAGACATCACTTGAAAAAGCCTCCTTGCTAAAATCCTGATGTCGGATTGAAATTTCTCTGTATTCGTCACATAGGAGTAACATATTCTTTTGTCGTCGTATTTCCCTTGGGATGATCATCTCACGTTTCTAGGCTCAGGTGTTGTATAACTACTGCAAAAGTTACATCACCATAGAAAAGTTTTATAGTAGGGCTGATTTTTTTTTAATTTTGAATGTAAGCAAATGAGAGTTTTCTGTGTTAAGAGTCTTTTTCCGTTGAATCAATATCGAATTTTGAAAATTTCCGTTACAATTCTTCGATGAAGTGAAGAATCGACAGTAGATATTAAACCTTAGAAATCACCTTGTTACTCTATAAAATGTATTGCGAGATATATTGCATACATATTATATCTTTTAAAAATGTTTGGTAAGAGTCCCCATACAGATATACTTTAACGCGATGATACATTTAACTTAATGGCGATTTAAATTAGAGCTCATGATGCCATCGTCTTGCACTATTTTAAAAGAGCCTGTTTTAGGCTATTATTTATTGGTTTTATAATTATTTTTTCAAAACTCATTACCAGAGTACAAGACAGACTAAGACGGAACATTCATTCAAAGATATTCCCTAGTTAACCTAAAAGGAATATCATTTAAGTTTCTACTTATTTTTATGATACTAAATCTGTTTATATGGATTGGGTTGCATCTTTTTAACATTCATGATGGCATGCATCACTGTCCCGTTCAAATATTTGTCCGAGATGCGCCACCATGGAATTTAAACTCAAGATAACAAAGGGAGATCTATTCTAACTCTCTGGGTGTTTTAATTCTAACAAGTTTCAATATCTTTGAGTGTTCACAATATGTCTATGACGTGAAACGGTATTGGGTCACATGCCAAACCGTATTGGTATTCTCTATGTTCTCCAGTGTTCTCTTACACGAAAGCATCCATAACGCTGTACCTTTCGTTGTTATGAATTAAATAAAACTAAATACATTTTACCCACGTGTTTGATATNTTTTTTTTTTTTTTTTTTTTTTTTTTTTTTTTTTTTTTTTTACAAGGAAAAAACGTACATTCATGCTAACCTGATTATTGCTGTTTTTTTAAAAAGCACTGGCAGTGTAAACTGTTCTTCACGGTGTTCCACTACCTGCTCGGCACCAACTACATGTGGATATTTGTTGAAGGCATGTATCTCCACACCCTCATATCAGTCAACGTGTTCTCAGAGCGGAGCAGCATCGTCTGGTTCGTTTTATTCGGATGGGGTGAGTACTACTCATTTTCGCCAGTTTATATATTTGCGGTTTGATTTGAATTTTCACAACATTAACAAAGTCACATTATGAACAATACTGTGCATGTACCTTTAAAAAACATATTTTTGTAGAAATATTTTCAATCTTCGATCGACTTCTTTCCTCTATAACTACGAAATATAGTTGATTTTCACACGCATTTAATTTTCATACACGAGAAGATGTTTAAACACAAGTTGATTTTCATACATCAGCGAATTTCTTACACAAGTTCATTTTTACATTAACATTTGATTTTCAGACGCTAGACTATGTATATAAACATGCTACATTAACAAATCAAACTTACTAAGAGAAATTACAAATCAGGCATTGTTATATCATGTTCATGCCCGTTCTTCGTCTAAGAAACCATACAATCATAATTATAATACTTACTGTGATTTTGAGATATGTACACATTGTAAAAGGAAGTGCTTACGCGTACGTATGTACAGTCCGTAAGATAGTGGCGTTTTGTGATTGCAGTATCACCTGTCCTGTTCGTGGTACCTTGGGTTATCGTACGATCTACATCAGAGGATTTACTGTAAGTTTTTAGTATCATAAAATGTAGCACACACGTTTTGATCAGTGTAGCAAATGCATAGTTGGATATTATATCTAAAAGACATTGTTCCATTTCCTCTGCGTTGATTTAAGCCCGACTGGTAGACAACCTTGGATAACTTGTTTACTGTTACACATGACGGGGAAATCCTGGTACTTAGCGAACCAACCGTGACATCTAAACTATATAAGCGGGAACATTTGCTGGAATATTTCTATTTAAGAAATGAAAATAAACGATCGAGATATGAAATTAGTCTTGTTTGTTAAGTAGTTTGTTGTAGAGATGTCATTATTGTCATTCATTATTTGGAAACTTTTTCTCTATTATAATTCTTAGGTGCTGGAATACCAATCCTACTGCCGGATATTTCTGGATAATGAGGGGTCCAATCGTGGCATCTGTCGTTGTAAGTAACGTATGGCGTTAACAAAGGTGGTATTTTCTTTATTACTATAGAAAATTGTAATCTAACATCAATTGTATTATCCGAAGCGTGCAATCCTTAATTACTCATATAATTTTGTCACATGCTAACTAGGATGAAATTGAGACGTCATTTGTATATGACAATATTAAAATCATGCTATCAGTTGCGAAATTACGACGTCTTGTTATCATAACATGTCTTTTTGAATTAATGTCAGTATTTCTATCTTAAATGCTTATAAATGTACATATCAATGTAAACAGATATGGTAACTTAGGCGAAATCACGTCGTCTTTTTTCATAACAGTATTAACAGTTAAGAATGGTGTAAATACGACGTCGTTTTCACATGATATTATCAATTTTTACTTAAAAAGAACTATGTTTTGCGGGGGTTGGGGGTGGGACTCAAAATCACAATATACAATGAGTACATACTTCTCCATCATAAAGGACTATAAAGAGTTAACATCTCGTAAAAGTATCTTAACGAGCTTTAGCGAAATACCTTAATGTTACACCCTTGCCTTGGAATCTATGACATCATTCTGTGTTACCTGTTACGTCACATGGCTGCTATTAGACATGTAACACAACAAATTGTGTTTACCTACACTACATCGATGCAAATCATCCTGATCAGTTGTATGGCTACTAATGTAATAATCAATAGTCGGTCAACTTTTGTAAAGGAGAATTGAATAAAAGAGTTACTTCCCCTATGTAGCAAACTTATAAGTAGTAATCAGCGTTTTACATAAAGATGATAGACTTATCGTAAAATTTCCGGTTTGTAAAGTTAACCTAGCACATGAGCAGTCTCATTGGATAAACATCATATGTAGCGAATATAGTGTAAAGAATTTTTTTTATTATTTTTGCTATTTGAAACGATTCATTGCGTTGTTAAAATCGATTATTTACGTCGGTTTTTTTATTTATTTATTTTTTACGATAAAAAAGGGTGGTTTGCTATGCAGATTGTTATCCCGGAACTGGAATCAATTCGCTGACACGGAATACATGAAATGTACGCTAAAACTTGCTGTATTCAAACCGTATCTATATATATATGTGAATATATATTTTGGATATTTATACCTAGATTTTCCTTCTCCCGACCTTAAGTACTTGTAAGGATTCGTAAATAGATAAATATGTTGGGCCGTTTTGTATTGACTTTAGTTCTAGTTGTTATCTTATGTGTTTAACCAATGTCAGTATTAGATAAGATCTTTCTTTTGTCAACTTTCAGATAAACTTCGTCATCTTCCTTAATACTATACGAATACTGTTCACCAAGCTAAAAGCATTCAACACCTTTGAGGCGAGACAATTCAGGTACAAGTAGGTATCCTTATTAATCTACTAATGGACTTTAAATTGTAACATTTTTATAAATATTGTTACAAACTTGTATGACCTTTGTATATTTTAATATGCTCTTGTTTTCAAAAAATGTCATTGATATCCTTAATCTCAATTGTTGCATTCATATATTCCGTCTTTGCGTATTGCAGAGTTATCTTCTCTTGGAGCAGGTATTGATTGTTACGTCATTGGTTGGTGTGAGAAAATTACGTCGTTTTCTCAAAAATTGATGACGTTACACTCACAAACAAGTGACGTAACAATCAATACTGCTCCCAAGGGAAGATAACTCTGCAATACGCAAAGACGGAATATACAAATAAAGGAAACACACTCGTGTATATGTATATGTATATCTAAATCTTGTCCGTGTAACCCCTGTATATGTCTGTTGTCATACACCTCGATAGTCCCAACCGGTAGTTTATATAACCCTATAATTAGTTCTGACACCAGACTGTCGATAGTTGAAACCTCATGTACAGTATGTACATGTATAGCCCAGATAGGTAATGATATACCAGCATGACCCAGTGTAATTGCCATGTCTTATATATTATTTTTACTGATAAATGTAGATGTAATCTATATGTGCATGCTAGTACTCTACCGAATGTGGATATCCTGTGGATAGCATAATTGACGGTAGAATAGGCTATATATATATTGTATAATCTACACTGTTCCTGCCACTTTACTTCTGAATATAATAATTGTCGTCTCTAAATCGTAATATTCCACGAAAGATAGTTGATTATCATGTTTCTATAACTCCTGTCGGTTCATGTATAATTTGTCAAACAACACACGTTTTTACATTACAGAGTATCTTTTAAGATGTGAAAAGTATCGTTCGATTTACATGATAATCGATTACCTTGAGTTCATGTTCCTGTTTATAACCTTATAGTATGCCTGAAATGCCAATTTATACCACGCCAATTAAGTTTCGCGAAAAGTAGGAAGCATTAAAAAAATCACAACAAACAAATATTACATAGTATAGCGTCGCAAGGACTTGGAACGTTGCACATGTTGTTGGGTTAAAGTTAACAAATGAAAACGCTGTCAGCATGTAACCAACATGTGGATAGCCTGCCTTGTTTACTAACACCTAATCTGAGTGATGCATTTACAGTTTCAAAATATGGAGTTTATATCTGTCTATACTAATCTGATACAAAGACCTCCTTAATTATTTGAACAAAATGATACAATTTTATATTAAAAACCGAAACCTCTTCTTTAAATTCTGTGGCAGCAACCAGCTGTCAATATTCTACAATTTCATCTAATGGCGGCGACACAAACAGTGCTTTAAACGGGACGTCGATTTTACATTGGATTTCTCCTATTATGACTTTCAAGATTGTTTCGAGTGTTGTAAAACTGTATCACATGAAGTAAATGTACTAAAAGTTTGGCGGATATTTCTTGTTTCCATCACCCAACAACTTCCCTATCTGAAAAATAGAGCACAGACAGGTTCCTAATATATTTCTCATGATAACGACCATTGCACATTGAACACATAGCATGACCCCTGACCCCTGACAGACACGTGTGACGTACTAATATATGTCATTGAATTGCAGGTGACTCACTTACAGATTTCTAAGTATAACGTAGTTTGTATGATGCACATATTCTTTTTAGTTCATGTTGTCTCTCGTAATATTAGTTACAGTGTTTCTTTTACTAATTTCATGCGTTGCCTCTTTTAGAATAAATACAATATAAAATTAGCATAAAGTTAAGATGAATATACGGACCACTAATGTTAGAAATTATAAAGTGATCAAATAATGTGTGTTAATTATTGTAAGCTTTTTTACAACTGTGTTGATTACGTTACATTATTGAACCTAATTTGAACTATAATTAGCATAGTATATTGTCATATATATGCAACAGAAATGTCTATCAATACACATTGTTATGTTACGAAAGCTATTGCAACTTTCTCATGTTCTTGTTTTTTATGCTTTTTTATCTTTTCTGATACAGTTAATCTATTTGATGCTGTTAATCCATTTGATGCTGTTAATCTATTTGATGCTGTTTGCTGCTGTTTTATTGCTGTCATATTCAGAGAATGTTCAGTTCTTACTTTCCTGCACACGTTTTATTGTTTAGTGTCATTTCTCTGAACATTTTCTTTCGATGATTTTAATGCCAGCAACACATTTGCTTACCTGGATACACATTGTAGTATAAGGTGATGGTATTAGTTGCGCACCACATGTAATATGTCTTCTAAAGAAGATATGCTGCTGCCAACATTATTAGAAAGTTGGATACTTATCTAGATTTTAGAAGGTATTTTGTAAACAAAACTAGCAATTCACAAAGATTTCATCATAAAATATTTATATAAATTACAGGTATGAACCAAGGTATTTTAAAGTTAATATATCTGCTAAATGCGTTAGAACCATTCGTCGTATTATCACATCAAAAACAACTTTTGATCGATATTCTTGGCATGAATTAAACTTTGTTTCAAGTTCTATCAGGTGAACAAGACGTTGTGTCCAATGGACCCCGGTTAAAAAAATAACTTGAAATTTATCTCCTGGAATTTAAATTCAAAGGGTTGTCTCCCTTGCACTGCTGTCGTTTTCTATATATCTCTCAAAATACCCCAAAAAATGTTTTTATAAAATTTACTGATAATGTTGAAAATTAAACACCATAATTATGTCAATATAATTGTTGTTATATATTGATGATGGATCCTTTTGACAGGAACTCTTTTATTTGTCAGTTATTATTGAGCAATTATATTTAGCAAAGAGGTATCCCGTCTTTGCGTATTGCAGAGTTATCTTCTTTTGGGAGCAGGTATTGATTGTTACGTCACTTGTTTGTGAGAGTAACGTCATCAATTTTTGAGAAAACGACGAAATTTTCTCACACAAACCAGTGACGTAACAATCAATTCCTGCTCCCAAGAGAAGATAACTCTGCAATACGCAAAGACGGAATACACACACAAAAAAAAAAAAGGTAAAATTTTACCACTTTTTCAAATGATAAGTACAGACAAAGGTCGAGGCACGCTCTATTTGTACGCGGGGATACTTATGGTTAAGTTATACTATGACTCATACTTCATCTGCGCAATGAAATCAAACTATATGACGCTTTATGAACGTTTTCTTAAAACTGCTTTAATTATGTTTTTGATATTGTTGAACATTAAAATAATCTATTTTGCTGTGCTGAAGCTTGCTCTGCTTCTTTTAGTACAAGTTAAGCATATTTATATCTATAGAGTACTAAAGCTAGTCTCTATCATCTATAGCATACGTGAAGCCAGTTTTATCATCTAAAGTACAGGTATCGCCTAGAGTACATCTAACGTTAGTTGCATCATCTAGCGTACACGTGAATACCGTTTCTATCATCTAGCGTACACGTGAATACCGTCTCTATCATCTAGCGTACACGTGAATATCGTTTCTATCATCTAGAGTAAAAGTAAATGTAGTTTCTGTTACCTACGCTAAAAGTAAAAATGTAGTTTCTGTTACACAGCTCACAAGTATTGCTAGTTCCAGTGGAGAGGGGAAACAATTTGACACTATATACATTATATACAGGGCAATCCATCGATCATGCTATACATTTCTGATTCAATTACAGCACTCAGTATTCGAATTCATTTCTCAATTTCCATGTTTGTACTTATATTTCAAAAAGTGGTATGATTTAATTTTGCTTTCATCATCATGCATGTTTGGTAACATAGTTTGATATTGACCTTCAGGAAACTGGCGAAGTCGACCTTGGTGCTGATCCCTCTGTTCGGCGTCCATTACATTATATTCGTGGGACTTCCGGAAGATGTCAGTGAGATGGCAGAACTCGTCAAATTGTATTTTGAGATGTTTTTTAACTCTTTCCAGGCAAGTCAATCTTAAATCTACACTGCTTACTGAGTTTATAATCGGACGATATTAGTATAATCTTCTTTTGTCATTGCGCAACAAGTCCTTCATGGAACTTATCCTATTCCGTCTTTTCGTATTGCAGAGTTATCTGCTCTTGATAACAGGTGTTGATTGTTACGTCATTTGTTTGTGAGAGTAACGTCATCAGTTTTTGAGAAAACGACGTAATTGTCTAACACAAACTTATGACGTAACAATCAATACCTGCTCACAAGAGCAGATAACTCTGCAATACGAAAGGACGGATACAATCATTAGCAAAAGGTAATTCATAAAGACAACTTAAGGAATATTCAAAGAAATGTCTGCATTCGATTGTTATGAGTTATCATGGAGAAGAAACTTAAAATAAAAACAGAAAAAAATACACAATCCTTTCTGAACTATTTTCAGACTGTATCTCTAAACACAGCTTTGACAGTAGCTACACAATAATACATTCTAATGAAGAATGATTCATCAAGCTAGATACATGTAATAACGTCAACCATCACTGATAAAAATGGCGATTTATTGTAGTATGTAAACATCATAGGTTATTTATATTTTAACCTGTAAGACATGTCGATGATTTTGTTCCACAGGGTTTATTTGTGACTATGCTGTTTTGCTTCTTAAACGGAGAGGTAACATATGCATTTATATATTTTGGACACTGTATTATAATTTTTTTAATTCTAAAAAATCAAACTGTTCTGTATGTGTAGCTTTTTAAGGGACTTGTCAATCACAAAGTTGAAAAATATTTATTACATTGACACTTTTATGAAATATCTTTTAAGTCATTTCAACAGAAAATTATAAATTGTGATTCAACAAAACGTTAATTAATCAATTATTTAAAAAAAAACAGGTATCGAATTCAGGACCCATTTATTACAACTCCTGTAATTTAAATGTTGCTATCGAGTAATTCTTACAACAAAGTTAGAGATGAATACTCTGACAGGGGAAGTAACCAGAAAATACTCTTTTTTGTTATCTATGAAGAAGGGAGTTTTTTCCATATAGCTATAACAGTTGTAGATTTACTCTTTCATTCAAAATGTTTTTAAACGTCTCTATTAAGCTGACTGAAGTATGATAGTTAAATATATTGACATTCCTTTAAGAACGGCCTACATTTCCAGTTTTGTCTAAGTACTTCATTAAAATTTAAATTAGAAAATATATTTTCCACTTAAATACCGCGTCAATTATCGTTCAAATTCCAATGAAAGGAAACAGGTGTTGATGTTTTAAGTAGTACGTGTCCATTTGTTATTTCAGGTTCAATCGGAAATTCGGAAGAAGTGGAGAAGATACAGACTTTCTCATACAGGGGGTGAGAGTATAAACCGGAAGTCAAATACAATAACATCGTTTATGTCTCGTACACGGCGAGAGTCGGCTGTATCGAACTCAAATTCTGGTGAATCGAAGGAATCCCACCAACATCTCAACGGCCATAGTCACAAAGACAGAAATAGCAACCAGAAAGTGTGCAGCAAAGTTTCACAATGTCTGCTTAATAACGGCCACAATGGGGACATAAGTAGAATCTCACATTCCGAATTCGACGAGGACGAACCAATGGTTACGTTCAGTACATCTAGTAGTGATCACTGCCAACATCAGGAACAAGACACTTTATTTGACCTTCAAGGGCAGTGCGTACATAAATGCTAAAGTACGGAAAACAGCGTAGAGGAAAGACCAAAGAATGAAGCATGAATTAAAAGAGAGAAAGATAGAAAGGAAAACGGAGAAACTGAGAGAGAGAATATACGGGTATTTTTTTTGCTTGGATAATGTGTTCAATATGTTTGATATCTAGCGTTTGTGTAAAAATCCTTGTCAAACGTCATGATAAAGATAGATATTGTTATCTCTTGTTTGATATAAATTATTCTAGACAGGTGTTTGACACCTAGAAATTGATCTGAAGATATGTGTGACTCTGGGGTTCAACTTAATTTGTTTTGCGATTATCGGTTATAATGCGTAATGGTTGATAACATTATACATGTGCGTGAGTAATGCTCTTCGGCAAATAGGTCAATGACTGACCTCGTAACAGAGTACATATATTGGGCCATGTGGCACAGAATTTGTAGCGCGGAACTTCATAGGGCCGCTGTGTAGTTATGCATACGCCGCATAAACATTTAATTATGCTAGCTCATCATTTTTTGGCAAAGTTTGTGTACTTTTGTTATAAATGATCTTCATATATAAGGATAAAAAAGTGGTAGAATTTGATTGACAGAACTTTAATGTACTTTGTGTTAAGAAAAAAAGTAACATCTTTTATCTCTTCCTCTTAGAAATTTAATGTGGAGATGTTTTAATCTGAGGGAAATTATTTTGATAATGATTTTTTGACTAATTTTGCGACAATTTGATTAAGTTTAACTCAACTCCTTGGGGAGCATACAGCCGGTGCTGCCATTTCGGCGCTCATAGCTAGCATTCAACAATTCTAGCACTGCCAAACCACGTACTCATTTACAGCAGAGTAGGCTGCAACAAGCGGAGTAAAGTATCTTGTTCAACGATACAACAGAGTGCCGTGCCGTGACTCGAACCCGCAACCCTTCGATCACGAGCCCGGTGTCCTACCACTAGAGTACCGTGCCTCCTTCAAACTTTTTTCAAAAACAAATCTCTCTGATAAAGTGTTTTTGGTTTAACCTGTGATACGAATGAACGTGTTTTCATAAACAACGATTTTTTCGCTCACTTTATTATGTTATTTATGTTAAAAGTTTTTATTCGTTTTTGTCCAGCAATGTGCATGATCTTTGGTTACAATTTCATATAAAAATTGATAAAAACAGGCCTTTTATTGTAAATATGACATCGTTCAGTCTACAGAGCACGACAATTATATGTAGGACCGAGCGTGTTGAATAGCGTTCTTTGACAAACGTCCGTAACGTGTTAGCGTCCCTAGAAATAGTTTCGATAAAAAGGAGGGAAATCGTGTACATTTTATTTGATATTTGTGATATTTATTGTAAAACTGTTTAATACACAAAATATTTAATGTTCATAATTTTGTTTGTACAATATTGTTCTAATTTATTTTAGCAGAATGTGGAGGGAAAGAGAAAGACGTTGTGTTGGTGGAGTAGGAGAGGGAAAGAGAACGGCGTTGTGTTGGTGGAGTAGGGGAGGGAAAAAGAACGGCGTTGTGTTAGTGGAGTATGGTAGGGAAAGAGAACGGCGTTGTGCTGGCAGTATAGTGTGTGAGAGGGAAGTTGATGGGATTTGTGAGGGCAAAGTGTGGAGTGTGGAAGGGGAAATGAAGTGGGAATTAGGGGAGGGGAAGTAAAAGCGGTGGTATGGGTGAATAAACATTCAAAACTTGTGTGTGTCCAATCTACAATATGTTGCGGGTAGGAACCATGAATGCCAACATCAGATTACACGTACATTTTAATATTACATCTCTCACAAAACTCAGATTTGCAAAAAATAATAAGAATTATACATGGAGATGACAATTTCACTCTTGGCTACTAAGGATATCTTAAGAAGGTTGTTAAGGTTGTTTTAAATATATCTACCGTAATTAATTTAGGTTGTTTTATTCCTTCGTTTGACCTATGACTTCACTCATATATGTAGTTAAGCGTTCCTCTATTAGTTAAAGGGATGTTACAGATGTGCGTGATGCATGCTGTCTAACAGCGTAGGTGGGTGTAGGTAATGATAGACGCTAAATGTCAGAATTTGGGTGGTTTTATATTGAGAATGAATCATTTTTACAGGTATGAAGTGTCGGTCGATATATCTTGTCACTGATGCATGCTACTTTTGTTAATATATTACATAGTGAGTTATACACAGTGCAGGTAAATTGTTATGTAGTTAGAGTTATAGTGTTACTGACGCATGCTACTATATACTGTTGTAGGCCAGGTAGAGTGTGACTGAAGTATGGTACAGGTATATACTTGTATAGGTGGGTATAGATTGGGACTGAAGTATGGTACAGGTATATACTAATAAAGGTGGGTATATACTGTGACTGATGTATGGTACAGGTATATACTAGTATAGGTGGGTATATATTGTGACTGATGTTTGCTACAGGTATATACTAGAATAGGTGGGTATATAGTGTGACTGATATATGGTACAGGTATATACTAGTATAGTAGGGTATATACTGTGACTGACGTATGGTACAGGTATATACCAGTATAGGTGGGTGTATAGTGTGACTGATGTATGATACCGGTATATACTAATATAGGTGGGTATATATTGTGACTGATGTATGGTACAGGTATATACCAGTATAGGTGGGTATATAGTGTGACTGATGTATGATACAGGTATATACTAGTATAGGTGGGTATATAGTGTGACTGATGTATGATACAGGTATATACTAATATAGGTGGGTATATATTGTGACTGGTGTATGATACAGGTATATACTAGTATAGGTGGGTATATAGCGTGACTGATGTATGGTACAGGTATATACTAGTATAGTAGGGTATATACTGTGACTGACGTATGGTACAGGTATATACTAGTATAGATTGGTATATATTGAGACTGATGTATGCTACAGGTATATACTAGTATAGGTGGGGATATATTGTGACTGATGTATCGTACAGGTATATACTAGTATAGGGGGGTATATAGTGTGACTGATGTATGATACAGTTATATACTAATATAGGTGGGTATATATTGTGACTGATGTATGATACATGTATATACTAGTATAGGGATATATATTGTGACTGATGTATGGTACAGGTGTATACTAGTATAGGTGGTTATATATTGTGACTGATGTATGGTACAGGTATATACCAGTATAGGTGGGTATATAGTGTGGCTGATGTATGATACAGGTATATACTAGTATAGGGATATATATGGTGACTGATGTATGGTACAGGTATATACTAATATAGGTGGGGATATATTGTGACTGATGTATGGTACAGGTATATACCAGTATAGGTGGGTATATAGTGTGACTGATGTATGGTACAGGTGTATACTAGTATAGGTGGGTATATATTGTGACTGATGAATGCTACAGGTATATACTAGTATAGGTGGGTATATACAGGTATATACTAGTATAGGGATATATATGGTGACTGATGTATGGTACAGGTATATACTAATATAGGTGGGGATATATTGTGACTGATGTATGCTACAGGGCTATACTAGTATAGGTGGGTATATATTGTGACTGGTGTATGATACACGTATATACTAATATAGGTGGGTATATATTGTGACTGATGTATGATACATGTATATACTAGTATAGGGATATATATTGTGACTGATGTATGGTACAGGTGTATACTAGTATAGGGGGGTATATATTGTGACTGATGTATAGTACAGGTATATACTAGTATAGATTGGTTATATTTGATTGTGCCTGATGTATGGTACAGGTATATACTAGTATAGGTGGGTATATATTGTGACTGATGTATGGTGGGTATATATTGTGACTGATGTATGCTACAGGTATATACTAGAATAGGTGGGAATATAGTGTGACTGATGTATGGTACAGGTATATACTAATATAGGTGGGTAGATATTGTGACTGATGTATCGTACAGGTATATACTAGTATAGGAGGTGGGTATATATTGTGACTGATGTATCGTACAGGTATATACTAGTATAGGAGGTGGGTATATATTGTGACTGATGTATGGTGGGTATATATTGTGACTGATGTATGGTACAGGCATATACTAGTATAGGTGGGTATATAGTGGGACTGATGTATGATAAATATATATACTAGAATAGGTGGGTATATAGTGTGACTGATGTATGGTACAGGTATATACTAGAATAGGTGGGTATATATTGTGACTGATGTATGCTACAGATATATACTAGTATAGGTGGGTATATAGTGTGACTGATGTATGATAAATATATATACTAGAATAGGTGGGTATATAGTGTGACTGATGTATGATAAATATATATACTAGAATAGGTGGGTATAGAGTGTGACTGATGCATGCTACAGGTATATACTAGTATAGGCGGGTATATATTGTGACTGATGTATGATACAGATATATACTAGTATAGGTGGGTATATAGTGTGACTGATGTATGGTACAGGTATATACTAGAATAGGTGGGTATATATTGTGACTGATGTATGATACATATATATACTAGAATAGGTGGGTATATAGTGGGACTGATGTATGCTACAGGTATATACTAGTATAGGCGGGGATATATTGTGACTGATGTATGCTACAGGTATATACTAGAATAGGTGGGTATATATTGTGACTGATGTATGATACAGGAATATACTAGTATAGGTGGGTATATATTGTGACTGATGTAGGATAGATATATATACTAGAATAGGTGGGTATATAGTGGGACTGATGTATGCTACAGGTATATACTAGTATAGGTGGGGATATATTGTGACTGGTGTATGACACAGGTATATACTAATATAGGGGGGTATATATTGTGACTGATGTATGATACAGGAATATACTAGTATGGGGGGGTATATATTGTGACTGGTGTATGACACAGGTATATACTAATATAGGGGGGTATATATTGTGACTGATGTATGATACAGGAATATACTAGTATAGGTGGGTATATATTGTGACTGAAGTATGATACAGGTATATACTAGTATAGGCGGGTATATATTGTGACTGATGTATGATACAGGCATATACTAGTATAGGTGGGTATATATTGTGACTGGTGTATGATACAGGTATATACTAGTATAGGTGGGTATATATTGTGACTGGTGTATGACACAGGTATATACTAATATAGGTGGGTATATATTGTGACTGATGTATGATACAGATATATACTAATATAGGTGGGTATATATTGTGACTGACGTATGGTACAGGTATATACTAGTATAGGTGGGTATATATTGTGACTGGTGTATGATACACGTATATACTAATATAGGTGGGTATATATTGTGACTGATGTATGGTACAGGTATATACTAGTAATGGTGGGTATATATTGTGACTGATGTATGGTACAGGTATATACTAGTATAGGTGGGTATATATTGTGACTGATGTATGGTACAGGTATATACGAGTATAGGAGGGTATAACAATTGTGACTGATGTATGGTACAGGTGTAAATAAGTGTATGAAATAGTGAAGTCGAGAACGTTCTATGTTTGATGCATGATACAGAGAAAATACGCGTGTAGGTGAGCTTATGTTGCAATTGAGACAGGTTTTTCAAGATTATAAAACGTTTTTGACTTTGTAAAAATCTTCTCTTAGAGGGAAACGTACGTTGGTTATACTTATAAGTTCATAATATTAATATTAACATGCATTGGACCTGAATTTTGATTGTACTATAATATAAAAACTTTTTCTGATAGTAAATGTCTGCAATTACAGACCGATCACTTTTATACTATACCGTACAATATCCAAAACTAAGTGTGACGTCATCTGCCACAAGATGATCCAATGTGTATTTTGTGTCTACTCCTATGGCGGTGTGCTCTATTACACAGACCAAATAACTGCAATGTTTCCTGTTTTTTTCTTATTGCATGTAAATTTCGTATGAATTATTTTATATGATTTTTGTTGACGATGTGATATCGTAGGAGGTGAAATACCTTTTAAATAAATTGCCTATGACGTTTTTGACAGCTAAGTGTTTTTAAGGTAACACACAATTAGTCATATCTGTGGTCACGCTCCAGTCACCAACAAACATTTACGTTTTTATTTTACATTACGCACATTTTACTTAAGCTTCTCTATCGCCTTCACAGGTTACCTCAAAGTGGATAAATGTATATGTTTATTCATGCTAGATCTTTACCTGTGTTATTACGGTCCGTTTTGAATCGACATATATCTTCATGAGCTAAAAAAAAATGAGTTTTTAATCGATATATACCTCGGTTAACGATCCTTCTTTTATCGACATATACCTGACTGAGCTTACAGCCCTTCTGTAATCGACATATACCTGCCTGAGTTAACAATCCTTCTGTTATCGACATATACCTGACTGAGCTAACAATCCTTCTGTTTTCGACATATACCTGACTGAGCTAACAGTCCTCCTGTTATCGACATATACCTGACTGAGCTAACAATCCTTCTGCTATCGACATATACCTGACTGAGCTACCAATCCTTCTGTTATCGACATATACCTGACTGAGCTAACAATCCTTGTGTTATCGACATAAACCTGACCGAGCTAACAATCCTTCTGTTATCAACATATACCTGACTGAGATAACAATCCTTCTATTATCGACAAATACCTGACTGAGCTAAAAATCCTTCTGTTTTCGACATATACCTGACTGAGCTAACAATCCTTCTGTTATCGACATAAACCTGACTGAGCTAACAATCCTTCTATTATCGACATATACCTGACTGAGCTAACAATCCTTTTGTTATCGACATAAACTTGACTTACCTTACAGTCCTTCTGTTATCGAAATATACCTGACTGAGTTAACAATCCTTATGTTATCGACATATACCTGACTGAGCTAACAATCATTCTATTATCGACATAAACCTGACTGAGCTAACAATCCTTCTACAATCCAAATAATTTCTGTCTGATCTGTTATCGATATAATATTTGACTGGGCTAACATTCTTTAAGAAATCTTCTTCTGCGTTAAGGGTGTGACAGAGAAATATCTAAACTAAAGGGTGATTTCCCTTTGTCTAAGAAATTACATTAAGGCCCCGAGGGTTGACGATTTTTCCCCCACACAATCAAGATAAAGAGTGATTATGTTTCTCACTTTACTCGAATACTATATGAAAACAATAGTTTTTAGCATTTGTAATCTGTTTTTATCCTGATTTGCAGCTTGCTTTGTTCCCCTGACGTCATAGAACAGGTTGTTTTTCATGTCATGGCGGTCATAACCTAGGGGGTGACAAAGAAATAATATCCCAGGGAGTGATAGAGAAATATTGAACAGGTAAACTTAGAGACAGTTCCTAGACAGGTAGGAGAATCTTACGATCCTTACTGACATAATTTTTGATTGAGCTACCGCCCCTCCTGACAATAATAAACCAACTAATCAAACGATCACTGTATCATCGATTACAAAATTTGCTCTTTTCACGAAGAACGATAATTGGTCATGAATAGATCAGATTACATTTAAGTATCCTCATATCCTTTTAAGTACTGCAATCACTTTTACTGTATCGGCATAGGAATAATGATTTGTACTTTGATGTGTAGTATACTGCAGATCAACGACGACAGACTATGATTTGCCCGTATTCATGTTATATCCTTACTAAGATGTTCTATTTGAATGTTGAAACATTTCCGCCTCGTTGGCGCTTTCCTTACTGCACACATGGGTGGTTGTTACAAGATAGCACTTCTGCATGCTGTACAATGTAACATACTTGTCACAGTAAACAGAAATGTTACCTTACCCGACACTGAATCTATAAATATACGGCTAGCACGGTGATTACACCTTTACATTAACAATTTAAAACCTGTTTCATGTTCAAGTCTGATAACTTGTCCTTATGATCAATAATGTCGTTATGGGTTAGGTTATCAGAGTTCAAAATAGTTATTTAAATTTAATACGTAATGATATGAGTGAAATACACCAGAGACGTGAAGGCCAAAGCCATATTTGAAGTGTTTTTTTATTTCGTTTATGGATCGTAGTATCTTTTCCCACTGTACACATACGAAACATTAATATTTGTGAATCGTTGTTGTACACAAATGAAACCTTTTTTTGTGTGTATATATAGATAAAATATACCACGAAAGTGTATCGCAGTATAGGAATGAGGTATAAATATTCCTTTCGTGTACTTCACAATAGAGTATCGTGGTACAGAAATGAAACAAACATGCTTCAAAAAACGTAAATGTATATTTTGGTCCTTTTTTTTTTTTTTTTTTTTAGAAAGAAAGGAGCTTTTGAAAGAATACGACATGATGTGAACATCTCTATGTTATATATAGAAATATATCCCTGTCTTGGTTTCACTTCCAAACAGCGTTTATTCAACGTGTTTCTCTTTCACGCTACTACATTCTCAACATGGTCTAATTACGTAGGTATAAAAACTGTAATTTTTATCAATTCATCTTGCAATGCAGCTGGTCCCCATCGGTACAAAGCTGCCTGGGTTGTTGAATCTCCAATATGTCTGTATGCTCCTTAGGTTCATTAAAAATGCAAAAATCAGTCGATGCATGTGTTCTTGGGCGAGTGTGTGCATGTTAGCATACACTGACGTGTGTATACATGGGCGTTCTAACTGTGATATATTGATTGAATATACAAAGATGTATGTTTTGTATTTCATGTTGTGATCTTTAATAAATATTTCGATATGATCGATAACTCAGAATTGTCGCATTATTTATCACATACCTGTTGAATCTTGTTATAGTAATACAACCAATATTCAGACCATGAAATACAAGGTTCTGTATTGCACATGTGCAATACGGAATGTTGTATTTACCAACTAGCCGGAACTACTTTTTATGGAAATCCCCTTGTCAATCCCAATTACCGGGAAAAGTTCCCGGTATTTTCAAAAAATATCAAAGCTTATAAAATCTTTGTATCGATCTCTACCAAATACGGAAGGTGTGCGATAAAAGCAAGATCACACACTCCGCGCACTCGTTAATATATTCGTCCGCGCAATGAACTCGTGCTTTCTGATTCGTTAGAAAAACACAAGTGTGTGGTCTTGCATATTTATGTATTGTCAGCTGAATGTGTTGAATTTTATTGAACAGCAGCTTTTCAGCCCTATTGTGTTAGGAATGTCCCATCAAATTGTTGCTAATTACGATCTGGTTGTAAAGTTTTGTCCCAAATTTATTTAATCGAATGCCTTTTAGACGATATATATATATCAATTTTGAAAGTTCATTAAAATTAATGAGTTAGGAATTGATCAGTAAGTTCGTCATTAAAAGAATCAGCATACATTTCTTCCGTATCAAATGAATGCCGACCCACAACATCAATATCCATTTGAGTGTAATTTTTTCTGTGTATCATCGTCACGTGGAAGATATGCACGTGGATAATATGCACGGGACGTCATTGTCACGTGCATATTAAACATTGTATCATTGTCATGTGTATTCATGTGTAAGAATAAACAAACATTTATTCTAATTCAAAACAGACAACAACCAACTAAGTGTAATGTATTAGTTTTTATTGACAGCCTAGAAAAAGATAAGCGGGACATGTTTTGTACTGCAGAGTATTGAATTCTCATCTTGACAATTCTTAAGGCAGAGAGGCCCAACGCTATACTTGTACCTCTAATGCAGTTCCGTCTTTTTTAACTTGGAGTTACTTGCCCATTTACTAAAGCAAATTGATATCAACGAAAAATGTATCATAATAAAAAAATTCACACGAAAATTCGATCACTGCGCATTTCGATTATTAAGCAGGAACTTTACCCACTGCTCTACCAGGGCCGGTTTCGTTTAAACGGTCAAACCGATCGGACCACTGTTATTCGTTTATTAAATAAGATGGGACCTAGTAATCTGATGCTGCTTTCAGGCGAGCCTTGAGAAAGCCTTGCAAGGCCTGCATACACATTTGCAGGTCCGCCAGGATTTATACTCGAAATTGTTACATTAATAAACGGCCAAACCGTTTGCTCCGCATAAACGAACAGGCCCCAGTTAAGATATTTGTTATGTTAGTACTTTTCTGCAACCTTACTGAGAATAATTTCAAAATACAGTAGTTAACTCCCTTAAAATGTTCACAACCTACGAATGATTATAAATAAACACACACAAAAAAAACCTAGATACATTAGGAAAATGAGGTTTCCGTGAATATAAACGGTAGAATTGTGGTGGGACTCTCTACCTTAATGTTCTCGTGTTTCTGAGAGGGATACAAAGACACGTGAAAGCGTATGTTTTTCCTTATGGTAGAACCACATGTTAATACACATATTCTTATCTGAGTAATACATAACGAACAGTTGTGGAAAGAGAACTGTAAAATGTATTTGGACATTATAAAACACTCCACAAATTGATTCTTCAGTACCTTCTGCCCAATATGTCAAACTTATGTGTTAAATTCCACATCGTCTCTGTTATATGAGAAATATACTTTTTTGTGTAACTTGTGTCTTTATATAGATTTGTAACTTTATTTCAACTTTGTGGTACCTTGCGTTATACTGGTGTTATTATATATCATCATATCATAGTGATTGTAAAACGTGACGATAACGATATTTAGCAAGCAATAGACGTAAAATAAAGACACTGTGAGTGCCCTGCAGTACCTACAGGATAACATAAACACTGGTGACACCCAGAAGTTAAAGCCACGGTAACCAAAGCCACTGGTCAGTTCACATAACAGACATACAGATGGTCAAGAGGTCAACATTTCCCTGACAACAACGTCATCTTAACAACAATGAAAGATAACCACCAGACATCACAAGGCTGACTGAAGCAATTGCCGAACCTACAGCAAGTCATCGGGACGAAGTCAAAGGTGGTGCTTAATAAATTCACATTTTGTCAAGCATGTGTATGAGGAGATTTACGACCCGCTAAACGTTTGATATCAGTAATGTGCTTTCATAGCTGTATGATGCTTACTTATGGAATAAGGTATTATTAATTTGAAGTAAACAAAAATATAGAAAACTCGACGTCAGGTTTTTATGGCTTAATTTGATCTCTTGATTTAAATATTTGCCACCATTGTCACCATTATAAATTTTCTCCTCCAATAATACTTTGAACTATCAAATTAATCGATAACTACATCTCTGTCATGTATGCGGGATATGGTCCTTAACTTTTAATTTGCGAAAACTACCTCTACAGCGAAAGAACGAATAGATAATTTGTAAATGGAATTGAGCTTTTATATAAAAAAAATCACGTAATAAACAACAAAGCACTATTGGACAGATACAACTATACACTGAGTATAATGTGGATTACATATGTTTACTCTCGTCCTATAATGTGTTGAACAGTTGGATGAACGATGGTGAGAAGAAACACGCGAACGAGTAACACTGGAGCTAGTTGTGGTCTTAGGGATAAGGAGTTTTAACTGAATGCTGACGTCATTCTGACAGCATTTACATGAATCGACACTGTTTCTTACGATACCAAACACAAACATAAAAGAACCATGCAAAACGTTTATAAATGCATGAGCAAATTGTTGTAGCTCTCTTAGCACAGTCATACAATTATAGGAAAAAAATCAGCTATTACAAACAATTATTGAACGATCATTCATCCAAGGAAATACTTTAAAACTTACGGTGACGTCATAATTACGTATTTGAAAGGCATCTTCCTGGCCGTAAGTTATTGAAATGAATAATGAACGAGTATAATATTTATGTACATATTGCAATACTTTGTCGAAAGCAAGAAAGACTAGACACAAACGTTTGTGACCAGGTAGCATGGATTTATATATATATATATATGTTGGAATACAATGATCACACCATGTCCGTCAGACGATCTTATATACACTAGCTATTGATTATAAATGGTTACACTGGTTTGATCTTCTTATATTTCAAAATAAAAATATTTCTTCTAACAAAATTGTAATTCTAAACATAAAAAGGACACTTGTAACAAATCTAAACATCAAGTAAAGAGCAGTTATATCGGGCTTTGATTAGGTTATAAAATTATTTGATTTTAACGTTCTCATAATAATGGATTGTTCGTTACTTCATTATCCCACACTTACGAATTCCTGTTTTTGTCTGTTAAAGGTTTCACCTGTGTTCACCTACATTAGGACACAGCTAGCACGCGATTTTATTCTGAAAACGTCACAGCTTCAAAGTAAGATCGTCATCCTTTTTGTCACACGCTTTATGTGGCATTGATTTTCCCTGTGTTTCATATTATAAATTTCAATACCTTTTACGGTATGGCAATGTGGGAGAAAGATATACTACTCGCGTGTGATGAAGAATCAACCCTCGGCATGAAGACAGTGAGAAATTAACCCTCGGGGTAAGGTGTTTTAAGTTAATCACTTGGCACAGCCTCGTGGGAAACCTTTCATTTGTTTTTACTTCGAATTGAGTTTGTTCTGTCTATATCACACCTGAGTGATATATTCTATTACTCTATAGGAAAGAAATGGCACAAGAATTATCTTTCAGACAATTGTTGTAGTTTGATATTAACATGTTAAACACGATATGTTTCTATCATCATAAACGTCTATACAAGACAAGCAAATTATACTTAACAAACGCCTATCATACTTTTACACAAAAACAAAACATTACAGTCATTTTGAAACGAAAGAGTTCCATCCTCGGATACAAAAACGTATTGGGAAACACAGGGGTACATGTTCCAAATACAATTTCAAAAATACATATTTACTGACTCATGCTAAATGGGGGAAATGCCGGATAAAATTAAAAAGATATGTGTCGACCTTACTGTAGGAATGTTTTTAATCGCAGCATACACATTTGTTTAGCGTCATCTAATATTCCTTTTACACATTACATATATATATATATATACATTTTTTTTTCTATATGAATCGAGAAGACTTAGAAGACAAATTTAGCCTTTTTACAGAAAAAATGATCGACATTGGAATATAAAATGAATCCCCACTCATTCAGCATGTTAATGGCACAGAAGAGCTGTAACGTCAGCTGACCTATGTGTACTTATAAATGCAAATGAATATCAGCAAACCTCTTATAACAGTGACACCTTTTGCAAATAATTTTGGCTAACCTACACTATGTATAATGTTGACTAACCTACACTATGTATAATGTTGACTAACCTACACTATGTATAATGTTGACTAACCTACACAATGTATAATGTTGACTAGCCTACATTACGTGTAATGTTGACTAACCTACATTACGTATAATGTTGACTAACCTACATTACGTATAATGTTGACTAACCTACACTATGTATAATGTTGACTAACCTACACTATGTATAATGTTGACTAACCTACACTATGTATAAGCTGACTAACCTACACTATGTATAATGTTGACTAACCTACACTATGTATAATGTTAACTAAACTACATTACGTATAATGTTGACTAACCTACATTACGTATAATGTTGACTAACCTACACTATGTATAATGTTGACTGACCTACACTATGTATAATGTTGGCTAACATACACTATGTATAATGTTGACTAACCTACACTATGGATAATGTTGACTAACCTACACTATGTATAATGTTGACTAACATACACTATGTATAATGTTGACTAACCTACACTATGGATAATGTTGACTAACCTACACTATGTATAATGTTGACTACCCTACACTATGTATAAGCTGACTAACCTACACTATGGATAATGTTGACTAACCTACACTATGTATAATGTTAACTAACCTACATTACGTATAATGTTGACTAACCTACACTTTGTATAATGTTGACTAACCTACACTAAGTATAATGTTGACTAACCTACACTATGTATAATGTTGACTAACCTACACTAAGTATAATGTTGACTTACCTACAATTAGCAGATTTAATTTTCCCTCCAACATTTTTTTATCAATCTTAAACCGAGAAGAATGTGTCTTCTTTCTTAATAATAGCTTTTTTTTCAAACTACCAATGCCATTTATCACGCCATTGTTGATTGGCTAATGTATTCTTAACACAGTAACGCCAATTTACATTGGCTAGTTCAAAATGAACAATAAGCAGATCTCATCTCATTCCAATTCATGTTGATGTCGTTTCAAATAAATATCCACCGGTTATAAATCTTCACAATATGACAAACTCCCACAAGTAATCATAGTTTGTACATTCATGTTGAATATTATAACATGAAATTGGAAACACTTGATGTTGTCATTTCATTCTATTTTTGTTCTGAGTGGTCCATCAGATTATGGTTTTGGTATTTTTCAATACTGCACCCTTTCACAACATAACATTGATTTATCACCGAAGTGTGTCGGTTTTATGTATCAGATCTAATGACTGTCTGTATCACTATTAGTTCAGCGCTGGAGCCAGATATCAGCTGTTCTACCCCCATCTACCCTTGCCAGACAAAATCTCCAAATCTGATATTAAAACATGACATACGAGTATGTAACGTGTGAAACAGGTATCCGTTGACGTCACATCACTTGTCTACAGCAGCAACGCTATCATGGACAGGAACATCAGGGTGAATGTTCCCATAGGAACCGCGTTGTTACCTCCATTCAGAGCACCGGGTATCGCTGAAAGTATAAAACAATGCTGCTTTACATACGGGTTTACGACAAACTTTTTGACCTCAATCTGATAGGCTTACACAGGATTATACCGTTATACATGTTATATGTTTACCAGTACGGGTCAACCAACAGATGATTTTTTTTTAAGACAGAAATATCAGTTCATAATTTAGATACAAGCAGGGAAATATTTAATTTTGTATGAATTCAATATGTAGTTGGCGACACTCGAGACAATGGAATTGTTGACAATAAGACATTAAAATACTGTCCGTAAAAATAGATACTGTCTTATGTTTCTTACCTTTTTTTTTCAACTTGTTTACTATTTGGAACGTCTCACTCAAATGATTTTCAAATTTGAGGATGAAACCATCATCAAAATCCGATTTTTTAATCATGTTGAACTTCAAGACATTCTTCATTTGCATGCGATTTTCATTCACCTATAGGTAAGATACATATATAAGTATATCTCAACAGGTGTTCATATTGAGCAGGTTGTAACTCCTATTGTATATCTGTGAATATGGTAGAGTGCCCATTAACAAATGAATAGTTTTGTACTAACATTCTTATGACTATTCGAAATATATCGTTCTATCAGGAGTTTTCTTAAACATATTAATAAGACTAACTAATTTAGACTATATTCTTTTATGCAGACATTGTTGCATATGTGGCATTGTATCCGGATAACAGTTGTAAACTTGAACAAAAGAATATACTTTATCAACACAACTCAGTGTTACACTCCTCTGTACTAATAACACGACTCAGTGTTACACTCCTCTGTACTAATAACACGACTCAGTGTCACACTCCTCTGTACTAGTAACACGACTCAGTGTCACACTCCTCTGTACTAATAACACGACTCAGTGTTACACTCCTCTATACTAATAACACAACTCAGTGTTACACTCCTCTGTACTAATAACACGACTCAGTTTTACACCCCTCTGTACTACTAACTTCGACTCAGTTTTACACCCCTCTGTACTAGTAACCACGACTCAGTATTACACCCCTCTGTACTACTAACTTCGACTCAGTTTTACACCCCTCTGTACTAGTAACCACGACTCAGTATTACACCCCTCTGTACTACTAACTTCGACTCAGTTTTACACCCCTCTGTACTAGTAACCACGACTCAGTATTACACCCCTCTGTACTACTAACTTCGACTCAGTTTTACACCCCTCTGTACTAGTAACCACGACTCAGTATTACACCCCTCTGTACTACTAACTTCGACTCAGTTTTACACCCCTCTGTACTAGTAACCACGACTCAGTATTAAACCCCTCTGTACTACTAACTACGACTCAGTATTACACTCCTCTGTACTAATAACACGACTCAGTGTTACACGCCTCTGTACTAATAACACTACTCAGTGTTACACTCCTCTGTACTAATAACACGACTCAGTGTTACACTCCTCTGTACTAATAACACGACTAAGTGTTACACTCCTCTGTACTAATTACACAACTCAGTGTTACACGCCTCTGTACTAATAACACAACTCAGTGTTACACTCCTGTGTACTAAAATCAACGACGTAGTGTTACATCCCTCTGTACTAGTAACCACGACTCAGTATTACACCCCTCTGTACTACTAACTTCGACTCAGTTTTACACCCCTCTGTACTAGTAACCACGACTCAGTATTACACCCCTCTGTACTACTAACTTCGACTCAGTTTTACACCCCTCTGTACTAGTAATGACGACTCAGTGTTACACCCCTATGTACTATACTAACCACGCTCAGTAGTACACCCCTCTATACTATACTAACAACGATTCAGTATTACACCCCTGTGTACTTATAACCACGACTTAGTGTTACACCCCTCTGTACTACTAACTACGACTCAGTATTACACCCCTCTGTACTACTAACCACGACTCAGTATTACACTCCTCTGTACTACTAACCACGACTCAGTGTTACACTCCTCTGTACTACTAACCACGACTTAGTATTACACCCGTGTGTACTAACAACCACGACTCAGTGTTACACCCATGTGAACCAACAACCACGACTCAGTGTTACACCCCTCTGTACTATTAACCACGACTTAGTATTACACCCCTCTATACTAACAACCACGACTCAGTGTTACCCCCCTCTGTACTACTAACTACGACTCAGTATTACACCCCTCTGTACTACTGACCACGACTCAGTATTACACTCCTCTGTCCTACTAACCACGACTCAGTATTACACACCTCTGTACTACTAACCACGACTCAGAATTACACCCCTCTGTACTATTAACCACGACTTAGTATTACACCCCTGTATACTAACAACCACGACTCAGTGTTACACCCATGTGAACCAACAACCACAACTTAGTGTTACACCCCTCTGTACTACAAACCACGACTCAGTATTACACCCCTCAGTACTACTAACCACGACTCAGTGTTACCCTCCTCTGTACTACTAACCACGACTAAGAATTACACCCCTCTGTACTATTAACCACGACTTAGTATTACACCCCTGTATATTAATAACCACGACTCAGTGTTACACCCCTAAGTACTATTAACCACGACTCAGTGTAACACTACTCTGTACTACTAACCACGACTTAGTATTACACTCCTCTGTACTACTAACAACGGCTTAGTGTTACACCCCTCTGTACTACAAACCACGACTCAGTATTACACCCCTCTGTACTACTAACCACAACTCAGTCCAACACCCTTCTGTACTACTAACCACGACTCAGTATTACACTCCTCTGTACTACTAACAACGACTTAGCGTTACACCCCTCTGTACTACTAACCGCAACTCAGTCCTACACCCTTCTGTACTACTAACCACGACTTAGTATTACACCCCTGTATACTAACGACCACGACTCAGTGTTACACCCATGTGGACCAACAACCACGACTTAGTGTTACCCCCCTCTGTACTAGTAATGACGACTCGGTGTTACACCCCTCTGTACTACTTACCACGACTCGGTGTTACACCCCTCTGTACTACTTACCAAGACTCAGTGTTACACCCCTCTGTACTACTTACCAAGACTCAGTGTTACACCCCTCTGTACTACTTACCAAGACTCAGTGTTACACCCCTCTGTACTACTTACCAAGACTCAGTGTTACACCCCTCTGTACTACTTACCAAGACTCAGTGTTACACCCCTCTGTACTACTTACCATGACTCGGTGTTACACCCCTCTGTACTACTTACCATGACTCGGTGTTACACCCCTCTGTACTACTTACCAAGACTCAGTGTTACACCCCTCTGTACTACTTACCAAGACTCAGTGTTACACCCCTCTGTACTACTTACCACGACTCAGTGTTACACTCCTCTGTACTACTAACAACGACTTAGTGTTACACCCCTCTGTACTACTAACCACAACTCAGTCCTACACCCTTCTGTACTACTAACCACGACTTAGTGTTACACCCCTCTGTACTACTAACCACGACTTAGTGTTACACCCCTCTGTCTTTATCAACAAGACTCATTTGTTACAGACTTCTGCCTTAATCCCCTCGGTACTAGTAATGACGACTCGGTGTTACACCCCTCTGCACTACTTACCACGATTCAGTGTTACACCCCTCTATACTAATGTTGACTAACCTACACTATGTATAATATTGACTAACCTACACTATGTATAATGTTGGCTAACCTACACTATACATAGTGTAGGTTAGTCAACACTATGTATAATGTTGGCTAACCTACACTATACATAGTGTAGGTTAGTCAACATTATACGTAATGTAGGTTAGTCAACATTATACGTAATGTAGGTTAGTCAACATTATACGTAATGTAGGTTAGTCAACATTATACGTAATGTAGGTTAGTCAACATTATACGTAATGTAGGTTAGTCAACATTATACGTAATGTAGGTTAGTCAACATTATACGTAATGTAGGTTAGTCAACATTATAAATAGTGTAGGTTAGTCAACATTATACGTAATGTAGGTTAGTCAACATTATAAATAGTGTAGGTTAGTCAACATTATACGTAATGTAGGTTAGTCAACATTATAAATAGTGTAGGTTAGTCAATATTATACATAGTGTAGGTTAGTCAACACTATGTATAATGTTGGCTAACCTACACTATACATAGTGTAGGTTAGTCAACATTATACGTAATGTAGGTTAGTCAACATTATACGTAATGTAGGTTAGTCAACATTATACGTAATGTAGGTTAGTCAACATTATACGTAATGTAGGTTAGTCAACATTATAAATAGTGTAGGTTAGTCAACATTAGTATAGAGGGGTGTACTACTGAGCGTGGTTAGTATAGTACATAGGGGTGTACAATTGTAACACTGAGCCGTCATTACTAGTACAGAGGGGTATAACACTGAGTCGTGTTATTAGTCCAGAGGATTGTAACACTGAGTCGGCTTTACTAGTACAGAGGGGTATAACACTGAGTCGTGTTTAATAGTACTGAGGGGTGTAACACTGAGTCGTGTTATTAGTACAGAGGAGTGTAATACTGAGTCGTGGTTACTAGTACAGAGGGGGGTACAATTGTAACACTGGGTCGTCATTACTAGTACAGAGGGGTGTACTACTGAGCGTGGGACTGAGTTGTGGTTAGTAGTACGGAGGGGTGTAACACTAAGCCGTTGTTAGTAGTACAGAGGGGTTTAACACTGAGTCGTGGGTGTTAGTACACAGGGGTAATGTTTGGACCTGTATATAACACTTTTCGTAGCCTGGTATTAGTGTTTTGACCTGTATATAACACTTTTCGTAGCCTGGTATTAGTGTTTTGACCTGTATATAACACTTTTCGTAGCCTGGTATTAGTGTTTTGACCTGTATATAACACTATCCATAACCTGGTATTAGTGTTATATACAGGTACAAACACTAATATCAGGTTAGGGATAATGTTATATGCAGGTCCAAACACTAATACCAATGTAGGGTTTGTGTTTTATACAGGTCCAAACACTAAAACCAGGTTAGGGTTATTGTTAATACAGGTCCAAACACTAAAACCAGGTTAGGGTTATTGTTATATACAGGTCCAAACACTAAAACCAGGTTAGGGTTATTGTTAATACAGGTCCAAACACTAAAACCAGGTTAGGGTTATTGTTATATACAGGTCCAAACATTACCCCTGTGTACTAACAGCCACGACTCAGTGTTACACGCCTCTGTACTACTTACAACGCCTCAGTGTGACACCCCTCTCTACTACTTACAACGACTCAGTGTGACCCCCCTCTGTACTAGTAAAGCCGACTCAGTGTTACAATTGTACCCCCCTCTGTACTACTTCCCACGCCTCAGTGTTACACCCCTCTGTCCTTCTTACCACGACTCAGTGTTACACCCCTCTGTCTTTATCAACAAGACTCATTTGTTACAGACTTCTGCCTTAATTAAAACGATTCACTGTCACAGCCTCTGCCTTAACTCACTCACCCCTGAAATTGCAAAATGAACTATTCCAACGTTTTAATTGGAAGAGTTCAAATGTGTCTTCATGGATGAATGAGTTAATCAAGTGCTGTCCATTTCCCTCAATGCTTCCCAGTCCTCTATTTGAAGTCAATAGTGATTACGTAAAGATGGTACATATGTACATGTTAATCTAATACTGATGTTCTTGTCTGTAACTTACCTCACACTCAACAGAATAGTTTGCTTTTTGTTTGAATGAGGTCATATCCATTTCAGATAGCCAGTCGAAATAACTGCATTTGAGCTCTTTTCCGGACACAACACAATCAATTTCTGCATCTGTCGCCCCGACAACCGTAACCGGTTCTTCGCAAATTATATTGGGATGTCCTGTTCAACAAGCATTTGGCAATTATTTCACATTAAAGGGTTATGTTGTCTAACCATGAAATGCTTTTTTTGCGAAAGAGTTCTTAATTTTAACACTTAAACATTATCATTTCAATATGATACTTTTACTTGGGTAATGAACGTATGACATATTTGAAAAGAACGAAATAGGCATAACATCGATAACAGTTATGTAAACCTCAATATATTATTTTTAAATATTACTCATTTTATTCATAAAATGTATACTTTAAGAAAATTCTTCCTTGTAAACAATAACGTACTTAAATTCTAATAATTTTGTCCCATCCATACCTTAAGGGACAGATAAGATGCATATTTTGTGTGTTGAATACAAAATGTTTACATTGTTATACAAAATGTTTACATTGTTATACAGAATGTTTACATTGTTATACAAAATGTTTACATTATTATACAAAATGTTTAAATTGTAAAACAAAATGTTTACATTAAAAAATGTTTAAATTGTTAAACAAAATGTTTACATTGTTATACAAAATGTTTACATTGCTAACTGATATGTTTTTAAGTTTTGGAAATAGAAAGTTCACCTTACATAAATGCTAACCGATGATGATAAATACCCTGCATTTGAACTATGAATATTGAGTATAAAACAAAAAGATAAAAAAATATTCATACCTGGGTTGATCTTCAAATCGAATTGAAGATGATGCATAAATTTCCCGTTTTCGACATGACAAGACAAGTCTGATAATCCCGAGTTGATGAGCACTGTCTTCATGGATCCGAACTCCAAAGGATTGTCCCCGGAGTTCAGTGTGTACGTCGGTGCGGGGATTCCTCCATCAGCGGTACATCTGACCTGATAGTACCCGGAGTCAATATGGATTTCCTTTGCAATAGGGTCTGAACCATTAACCATTCGTGTCACGAGAAACTCCTCTCCACTTGGGACACCAAATTCGTCAATAGCAGATATGGAAAAATCTATGCGTCCCACGTCGACTGTAACATAAACATTAAAAGGTTAAGTCATTCGATCAAGGAGGAAACTAACTACATTTCCTTTATCTTACTTGTAAAGCAGTATATTGTTAGTTTTTCATACATGGAGAAACCATTTATACCAATAATGATCCAAACAATAATACCAGGTTAGGGATGGTGTTATATACAGGTCCAAACACTAAAACGTGGTTATGTATGGTGTTATATACAGGTCCAAACACTAATACCAGGTTATGGATAGTGTTATATACAGGTCCAAACACTAATATCAGGTTATGGATAGTGTTATATACAGGTACAAACACTAATATCAGGTTATGGATAGTGTTATATACAGGTCCAAACACTAAAACCAGGTTAGGGTTATTGTTAATACAGGTCCAAACACTAATACCAATGTAGGGTTATTGTTATATGCAGGTCCAAACACTAATACCACGTTATGGATAGTGTTATATACACGTCCAAACACTAATATCAGGTCCAAACACTAATATCAGGCTATGGATAGTGTTATATACAGGGCCAAACACTAATATCAGGCTACGGATAGAGTTATATACAGGTACAAACACTAATACCAGGCTACAAAAAGTGTTATATACAGGTCCAAACACTAATATCAGGTTATGGATAGTGTTATATACAGGTCCAACACTAATACCAGGCTACGGATAGTGTTATATACAGGTCCAAACACTGATACCAAGTTATGTGTAGTGTTATATACAGGTCCAAACACTTATACCAGGCTATGGATAGTGCTATATATAGGTCCAAACACTAATACCAGGTTATGGATAGTGTTATATACAGGTCAAAACACTAATACCAGGCTACGGATAGTGTAATATACAGGTCTTAACACTAATACCAGGTTATAGATGGTGTTATATACAGGTCCAATTTAAATGCCTGGTCAGGGATAATGTTATATATAGGTCCAAACACTAATACCAGGCTACGGATAGTGTTATATACAGGTCCAAACACTAATACCAGGTTATGGATGGTGTTATATACAGGTTCAAATACTCATGCCCGGTTTTGGATAGTGTGATATTCAGGTCCAAACACTCACACCTAGATAGATTCCTAGAGCTTAGGTTAATGGTGTTTGAAGGGTGGTCCTGGTCTATCCCTTTAGGATCTAAGCAAAAAAAGACTTGCTTCCTTTAGCCTTAGAAACCCAAAGTCGGACTAATTCATTGGCCCTAGACTCTGACCAATGAATGCCGTCCGCTGTAAACCTGAACCCCCCTCGGATACAACTGTCCAAGAATGAAAAGGCCTTGTTTTTGGATTTCACGAGTTCTTGATTGAATTCTTCTAAAAATGCAGCTTCTCCCGGTTTTTGGTTGGCCAAGGTTTCCGAAATGGGCACGATAGTAAAAAAGTATCGAGCTAACGTTATTGTTATATACAGGTCCAAACACTAATATCAGGTTAGGGATAATGTTATATGCAGGTCCAAACGCTATTACCAGGTTAGGGTTATTGTTATATACAGGTCCAAACACTAATACCAGGTTAAGATAGTGCTATATACAGGTCCAAACGCTAATACCAGATTAGGGTTATTGTTATATACAGGTCCAAACACTAAAACCAGGTTAGGAATGTTGTAATAAACGGATCCAACACTAATACAAGGTTAGGAATAGTGTTATATACAGATCCAACACTAATACCAGGTTAGGAATAGTGTTATATATAGTTCCAAACACTAATACCAAGTAAGGGATCGTGCTTTAAACAGGTCCTAATACTAAAAACCAATATAGGGTTGATGTTTTGATACAGGTCCAAACACAACTACCAGGTTAAGGTTAGTGTTTTATACAGGTCCAAACACTAATACCAGGTTAGGGGCTAGACAGGTCCTAATCATAATACCAATATTGGGTTAGTGTTTTGATACAGGTCCAAACACAACTACCAAGTTATGGTAAGTGTTTATACAGGTCCAACACTTATACCAGGTTAGGGTTATTGTTATATACAGGTCCAAACATTAATAACAGGCTATGAGTAGTGTCATATACAGCTCCAAACACTTATACCAGGTTATGGATGGTGTTATATACAGGTCCAAACACTAAAACCAGGTTAGGGTTATTGTTATATACAGGTCCAAACACTAAAACCAGGTTAGGGTTATTGTTAATACAGGTCCAAACACTAATATCAGGTTAGGGATAATGTTATATGCAGGTCCAAACGCTAATACCAATGTAGGGTTAGTGTTGTTTTATACAGGTCCAAACACTAATACCAATGTAGGGTTAGTGTTTTATACAGGTCCAAACACTAATACCAATGTAGGGTTATTGTTATATGCAGGTCCAAACACTAATACCAGGTTAAGGTTAGTGTTTTATACAGGTCCAAACACTAATACCAATGTAGGGTTAGTGTTTTATACAGGTCCAAACACTAATACCAATGTAGGGTTATTGTTATATGCAGGTCCAAACACTAATACCAGGTTAAGGTTAGTGTTTTATACAGGTCCAAACACTAATACCAATGTAGGGTTAGTGTTTTATACAGGTCCAAACACTAATACCAATGTAGGGTTATTGTTATATGCAGGTCCAAACACTAATACCAGGTTAGGGTTAGTGTTTTATACAGGTCCAAACACTAATACCAATGTAGGGTTAGTGTTTTATACAGGTCCAAACACTAATACCAATGTAGGGTTATTGTTATATGCAGGTCCAAACACTAATACCAGGTTAAGGTTAGTGTTTTATACAGGTCCAAACACTAATACCAGGTTAGGGGTTTAACAGGTCCTAATCATAATACCAATATTGGGTTAGTGTTTTGATACAGGTCCAAACACAACTACCAAGTTATGGTAAGTGTTTATACAAGTCCAATACTAATACCAGGTTAGGGTTAGCGTCTTATACAGGTCCAAACACTAATACCAATGTAGGGTTAGTGTTTTATACAGGTCCAAACCCTAATACCAATGTAGGATTAGTGTTGTTTTATACAGGTCCAAACACTAATACCAATGTAGGGTTAGTGTTTTATACAGGTCCAAACACTAATACCAATGTAAGGTTAGTGTTTTATACAGGTCCAAACACTAATACCAATGTGGGTAAGTGTTTTATACAGGTCCAAACACTAATACCAATGTGGGTTAGTGTTTTATACAGGTCCAAACACTAATACCAAAGGGGGTTAGTGTTTTATACAGGTCCAAACACTAATTCCAATGTAGGGTTAGTGTTTTATACAGGTCCAATACTAGTACCAGGTTAGGGTTAGCGTCTTATACAGGTCAAAACACTAATACCAGGTTAGGGAAAGTGTTTATACAGGTCCCAACACTAATAGCAGGTTAGGGTTAGCGTCTTATACAGGTCAAAACACTAATACCAGGTTAGGGAAAGTGTTTATACAGGTCCACACACTAATAGCAGGTTAGGGTTAGCGTCTTATACAGGTCCAAACCCTAATACCAATGTAGGATTAGTGTTGTTTTATACAGGTCCAAACACTAATCCCAATGTAGGGTTAGTGTTTTATACAGGTCCAATACTAATACCAGGTTAGGGTTAGCGTCTTATACAGGTCCAAACACTAATACCAGGTTAGGGAAAGTGTTTATACAGGTCCAAACACTAATAGCAGGTTAGGGTTAGCGTCTTATACAGGTCCAAACACTAATACCAATGTAGGGTTAGTGTTTTATACAGGGCCAAACACTAATACCAGTGTAGGGTTAGTGTTTTATACAGGTCCAATACTAATACCAGGTTAGGGTTAGCGTCGTATACAGGTCCAAACACTAATACTAGGTTAGGGTTAGCGTCTTATACAGGTCCAAATACAGGACAAATAATGATAACAATGTAATTTTTGCGTTTTAAACGGGGTCAGAATTCATTCAGGGCCAAACGTTATCAATGGAGCTTGTTGTGCTATAAGGTTAGGTGAATCAAAGTGTGACAATAGTATGTAACTGGTGTTTCCTGTAGCCATTGACTGTTAACGTCAGTAAAACAAGGTCAGCAATAATGAGTAATACACTATTATAGACTATAGAAATTGATATTAGCTTACGTGTTAGTTCTTTGACCGTCAGAACCACGGTTTTGTTGAAGTTTTCCCTGGTACAGTAGTACGTGCCCGAGTCGGCCAAAGTTACAGCTGCAATACGAAAAAACGTTTCATGATTAAACATACTTTTGTCATTTGAAATAATTGTATTAAAAAATTCAAAATAATGTTAATTTCTGTTTCACAATAACAATACATTTCTGTTCACTCTTGCACAAGCATCGTGAGAATATATATGAAACAAATTAACGTAATATTACTTCACAAAGCCATACTAAAAAAATAGTACTTCACAAAGCCATACTAAACAAATAGTACTTTACAAACCCATACTTAACAAATAGTACTTTACAACTAACCAAATAGTACTTTACACAGACCTACTACACTAAACAAATAGTACTTCACAAAGCCATACTAAACAAATAGTACTTTACAAACCCATACTAAACAAATAGTTCTTTACACAGACATACTAAACAAATAGTACTTTACAAACCCATACTAAATAAATAGTACTTCACAAAGACATACTAAACAAATAGTACTTTACAAACCCATACTAAACAAATAGTACTTCACAAAGTCATACTAAACAAATAGTACTTTACAAACCCATACTAAACAAATAGTACTTCACAAAGACATACTAAACAAATAGTACTTTACAAACCCATACTAAACAAATAGTACTTCACAAAGTCATACTAAACAAATAGTACTTTACAAACCCATACTAAACAAATAGTACTTCACAAAGACATACTAAACAAATAGTACTTTACAAACCCATACTAAACAAATAGTACTTCACAAAGCCATACTAAACAAATAGTACTTCACAAAGCCTTACTAAACAAATAGTACTTCACAAAGCCATACTAAACAAATAGTACTTTACAAAGCCATACTAAACAAATAGTACTTCACAAAGACATACTAAACAAATAGTACTTCACAAAGCCATACTAAACAAATACTTCTTTACAAACCATACTAAACAAACTTGGCAATCATGACACCATTGATATGTTGCCATCTGGTTTGTTAACTGCGACTTCCGTAATCTTTTCACGTTTTGGACATCATATCTACGCTATGAGAAGAACACGTCCGTTTGTAATACAAGGATAATATATAACAAGAATGCACAATGATAGCCATGCGGTTCTATTAACATGTTTAATTCCAAATACGTAGTAAAATCGGATTCTAAACTTACTTCCAGCCAATTGAAATGGGAAATACGTGTCATTTGAAGGTTTGAGGATTGAAGGTGTCCAGCCAGGTTTAAGCGATTCGCTGTTGAGTGAGAGTTGGACAGCTCCTTCCCCCTTGGCAGTGTTTATGTAATAGTACTTAAGTGGAGATGAGAAAAGTTCCAGGGCTCCTTTTGCTACAACATCACAGCGGAAAGTGAACGTGTTTCCTTCCGTTAGGCTAATCTCTGTCACAGTTGAAGACCCCGAATCTGAAAAATAAACAATAAGACAACATCAAGATAAATGTATTTTTTGTACTATCTATGTAATGTCTATGACAGCCCGTGATGTCATTAAGTAAATTGAAGTGAACCCTCTTGTTAACACTGGTAATTCATCAGTTCCGAGGCAATCATTGAATTTTTCTAAGGCAATATTAACATGTCTTTTATTGCATGATACTTCTATGTTTTAAAGCCGCGGTAACGTCTTACGGTCACCGGTCACGTCTTACGGTCACGTCTTACGGTCACCGGTCACGTCTTACGGTCACCGGTCACGTCTTACTGTCCCGTCTTATGGTCACCGGTCACGTCTTACGGTCACCGGTCACTTCTTACTGTCCCGTCTTATGGTCACCGGTCGCGTCTTACGGTCCCCGGTCACGTCTTACTGTCACGTCTTATGGTCACCGGTCACGTCTTACGGTCACGCACGTTGTTGACTGTAGCGGGGGATGACCGTAGTTGACTGTAGTAGACCTAAGTTAATCGTATCAAACGTTGTTAGACGTAATTCAACGCAGTTATAAACTAAACATTACTTAACCCTAGTTGACCCTTGTTAACCGTATTTAACAGTAGCCTAACCCTAGAAGTTGTCCCTAGCTAACCCTACTTGATCCTACTTGACCGTAGTGTTAACCGTAGTGCCATATTACCACGGTCAACTACGGTCAAGTAGGGTCAAGTACAGTCAACTAGGGTCAACTACGTTCAAACAACGGTCACAGTAGGGTCTTGGCATCCAAACTCACCGTAAAGATATTTTGATCATGACAGACAAGCTTGTGTATTCTATTGTAGGCACAATGCAATCCTGTACGTAGTTCGGGCACAATACAAACGTGTGCATAGTCCGGGCAACATACAATATTGTACATAGTCTCGGCATTATGCAATATTATCTGATATATAGTCTGGGCACAATACAAACTTGTACATAGTCCGGCCACAATACAAACTTGTACACACATTGTAGTCCGGGCACAATACAAGACTGTACTTAGTCCTGGTACAATACAAACTTGTACATAGTCCGGGCATAATACACACTTGTACATAGTCCGGGTACAAAACACCCTTGTACACAGTCCGGGCATAATACAAACTTGTACATGGTCCGGGCATAATACAAACGTGTACATAGTCCGGGCATAATACAAACTTGTACATAGTCCGGGCATAATACAAACTTGTACATAGTCCTGGTACAATACAAACTTGTACATAGTCTAGGCACAATACAAACTTGTACATAGTCCGGACACAATACAGTCATGTACTTAGTCCTGGTACAATACAAACGTCTACATAGTCTCGGCACAATACAAACTTGTACATAGTCTAGGTACAATACAAACTTGTACATAGTCTAGGCACAATACAAACTTGTACATAGTCCGGGTACAATAAAAACTTGTATACGTACATAGTCCGGGCACAATACAGTCCTTTACTTAGTCCTGGTACAATTCAAACGTCTACATTTTCTAGGCACAATACACACTTGTATATACATAGTCCGGACACAATACAAACTTGTACATAGTCCGGACACAATACAGTCATGTACTTAGTCCTGGTACAATACAAACGTGTACATAGTTTCGGCACAATACAAACTTGTACATAGTCCGGGTACAATACCATCCTGTTCATAGACCGGGCACAATACAAACTTGTACATAGTCCGGGCACAATACAAACTTGTACATAGTCTAGGAAAAATACAAACTTGTACATAGTCCGGGCACAACACAAACCTGTACATAGTCCGGGCACAATCCAAACTTGTACATAGTCTAGGAAAAATACAAACTTGTACATAGTCCGGGCACAACACCAACGTGTACATAGTCCGGGCACAATCCAAACTTGTACATAGTCCGGGCACAATCCAACCTTGTACATAGTATAGGCCCACTACAAACCTGTACATAGTCTAGGCACAATCCAAACTTGTACATAGTCTAGGCACAATACAAACCTGTACATAGTCCAGGCACAATACAAACGTGTACATAGTCCGGGCACAATACAGACCTGTACATAGTCTAGGCACAATACAAACTTGTACATAGTCCGGGCACAATACAAACCTGTACATAGTCTAGGCACAATACAAACTTGTACATAGTCGAGGCACAATACAAACTTGTACATAGTCTAGGCACAATACAAACATGTACATAGTCTAGGCACAATACAAACTTGTAGATAGTCTAGGCACAATACAAACCTGTACATAATCCGGGCACAATATAAACTTGTACATAGTCTAGGCACAATACAAACCTGTACATAATCCGGGCACAATATAAACTTGTACATAGTCTAGGCACAATACAAACTTGTAGATAGTCTAGGCACAATACAAACCTGTACATAATCCGGGCACAATATAAACTTGTACATAGTCTAGGCATAATACAAACTTGTACATAGTCTAGGCACAATCCAAACTTGTACATAGTCTAGGCACAATACAAACATGTACATAGTCTAGGCACAATACAAACTTGTAGATAGTCTAGGCACAATACAAACCTGTACATAATCCGGGCACAATATAAACTTGTACATAGTCTAGGCATAATACAAACTTGTACATAGTCTAGGCACAATACAAACCTGTACATAATCCGGGCACAATATAAACTTGTACATAGTCTAGGCACAATACAAACTTGTACATAGTCTAGGCACAATACAAACCTGCACATAGTCTAGGCACAATACAAACTTGAACATAGTCTAGGCACAATACAAACTTGTAGATAGTCTAGGCACAATACAAACCTGTACATGGTCTAGGCACAATACCAACTTGTACATAGTCTAGGCACAATACAAACCTGAACATAATCCGGGCACAATATAAACTTGTACATAGTCTAGGCATAATACAAACTTGTACATAGTCTAGGCACTATACAAACCTGTACATAGTCTAGGCACAATACAAACTTGTACATAGTCTGGCCACAATACAAACTTGTACATAGTCTAGGCACAATACAAACCTGTACATAGTCTAGGCACAATACAAACCTGTACATAGTCCAGGCACAATACAAACTTGTACATAGTCCGGGCACAATACAAACGTCTACATAGTCTCGGCACAATTCAAACTTGTACATAGTCCGGGCACAATACAGTCCTGTACTTAGTCCTGGTATAATACAAACGTGTACATAGTCCGGGCATAATACAAAATTGTACATAGTCCGGGCACAATACAGTCCTGTACTAAGTCCTGGTACAATACAAACGTCTACATAGTCTAGGCACAATACAAACTTGTACATAGTCCGGGCACAATACAGTCCTGTACTTAGTCCTGGTACCATACAAACGTGTACATAGTCCGGGCACAATACAATCTTGTACATAGTCAAGGCACAGTATAAAATATGGCCTATATTAACATATTATCAGGAATCATTTTGTAATGTAAAGTATGCAGGCATGCAAGCCCCTTAGGGCTTGACTATTTTCTAATGATTAACGATTATCACTTCATTATTATGACAGACAGGCTTGTTTATTCTATTGTAGGCGCAATACAATCCTGTACGTAGTTCGGGCACAATACAAACGTGTACATAGTCCGGGCACAAATACAAACTTGTACATAGTCCGGGCACAAATACAATCCTGTGCATAGTCCGGGCAATATACAATATTGTACATAGTCTCGGCATAATGCAATATTTTCTGATATATAGTCTGGGCACAATACAATCTTTTACATAGGTCTGGCACAATACAAACTTGTACATAGTCCGGCCACAATACAAACTTGTACATAGTCCGGCCACAATACAAACGTCTACATAGTCCGGGCATGATACAAACTTGTACATAGTCCGGGTACAATACACACTTGTACATAGTCTAGGCACCATACAAACTTGTACATAGTCCGGGTACAATACAAACTTTTACATAGTCTAGGCACAATACAAACCTGTACATAGTCCGGGTCCAATACAAACTTGTACATAGTCCGGGTACAATACAGTCCTGTGCTTAGTCCTTGTACAATACAAACGTCTACATAGTCTCGGCACAATACAAACTTGTGCATAGTCTAGGCACAATACAAACTTGTACTTAGTCCTGGTACAATACAAACTTGTACATAGTCCGGGTACAATACACACTTGTGCATAATCTATGCACAATACAAACTTGTACATAGTCCGGGTACAATACAAACTTGTACATAGTCCGGGTACAATACAAACTTATACATATTCCGGGTACAATACAAACGTGTACATAGTCCGGGCACAATACAAACTTGTACATAGTCCGGGCACAATACAAACTTGTACATAGTCCCGGCACAAAACAAACGTGTACATAGTCCGGGAACAATACAAACTTGTACATAATCTTGGCACAATACAAACTTGTACATAGTCCGGGCACAATACAAACTTGTTTATAGTCTAGGCACAATACAAACTTGTACATAGTCTAGGCACAATACAAACTTGTACATAGTCTTGGCACAGTATAAAACATGGCCTATATTAACATATTATCAAGAATCATTCATGTAGGGTATGCAGGCATAATAGATATATGCAATATCGTTTCTGGCTCATTTTTCTATCGACAACAATGTTGTAATTGATACTCTACATTACGCATAGGTGTACCTGGTGAAGGTGTATAAGATATCCACGAGGTAATGATGGCCCCCAAAGGCATTTACTTATTCTAGTTATGTACTGTTCTATTTTTTCTCTTATTTATTTAAATTTTGCAAGAGTAAGGTAAAATTTTAGTGGTTTTTCAGTGTGATTCACGTATGTGTGCATTTTGTTGATAGGTATATTGTATACATACGGTGTTCAGGTAACACTGGCACGCACGCTCCCCTGGCCTGTTTACAAACTGACGGTTATACGATCCTGGATGTTTTAGGGTGTCGGCACAAGTTCCGAAAATAAACAGATTCTTGAATCATACTC